GTCACCTGCCTGTAAGGCAATGCCAAACTCGGCAAAGGACAACTCGTCCAGCTCTAACAGAGCACTTGCTGTGGGTCTTGCTGAAAGAGCCACCGGCTCTTCAACATCCCCAGTCAAACCATTGACGAGTGTGTATAGCTGTTCGCTATCACCGTTACTCACGATATCATCATCGCTACTCATGATGCTCTCAGCATCTGACGCATCAGCGTCCACAGGTGTACACACCTCAAGGTCGAAGACCACTTCGTTTACTGACTGCTCCCCACCCTCTTGGGTCAGTCAATGCCTTGTCATGAGGTGTTCTCACCTCGTTGTTCTCAAAGACAAACGTCATTTTTGACTTCACCCAATCCTTTTGGGCCAGTAAATCGTCACTAGGTGCATGCAACGCGTTATCCTCAAAGGTAGTATCCATTGATGACTTCACCCACCCTCTTGGGTCAGTTCCTTGTCGTTAGGTGCATGCACCTCGTTGTTCACAAAGACAACATCCATTTGTGACTTCACTCGACCCTCCAGGGTCAGTACCTCGTCACTCATCTCACTTGGACTCATGTCCTGACATCTTGGCTTGCAGCCACCAACACCACTCACGGTGTTTAATGATGTAACATCATTCTCATGACACATGTCATATGTGCCATCTAGTGGGTTCTAAACCATACGATCGACAGTTCTTAGACCTCGACGAGGACTATCGTCCTCGACACGTACAGTGTCTACAAAGTCGGATATTACGACATCCAACATGTTGACCAACTCGGTCCAATATCCGCGCCAGAAGCGCTTTTGCTTCCTAGAAGAGGTGGGTTCATGACTCTCCAGAGCCCCACCAGGAGCATTGCGCGTTGCGCCTAAGGTCTTTGACCTCCAATCAATCCATGGCTCATGACGTTCTAGCCATGCCATGCCTAGGATGAGGTCATACCTTGCATACAAGTCTAAGACCAAACAGCGTTCCATGCTGTTAAAGTCCAAGAACTTTACATTTTAGTCCATCGGGACTTTGGGCACCGTAACAAGCGTACCCGTCGCTAAGCAAACTGTGACTGTGTCACTTTCACGCGCTACAAGCGCTTCAGCATACTGCTGACTACCTTCCACGGTGGCACGACGCACATAATTGCCTGATGCCCCCGAATCGATCAAAATGATCCATGGCTTATCATAGTCCTTAATCGTCCCTTCGACGACTAGCAAGCCTGGCTTGCATTCTCGTTCCGTTTTTGAAAGTTCGGATCTCTTTGGGGCTGGGCCCTGTTTACTTCTACCTCCTAGAGGTTCAACAAAACTTAGTTCTTCCCCAGTAGGGCGCCCCGCGCCTACTGGGCTCCGCCGTTTCCCCGCGGCAAACCAGAAGGTTTACCCATGGGGCGTCGGCCCTTCGAAGCCAAATATGCCTTTCTTGCAGGGCATTTTGCCATCAAATGGCCCGTGCTCTTGATGTATAACATCTGCGCACAATTTGCTGCTCCGCAGCATGAATCTCAGCTTCTTCATCCTCCACTTGACTACAGTATATGGGTACAGACCCATCAGACGAGTAGTTATAAGTGGCAGGCCTAGCGGCCTTCAAGTTAGCCTCGGCATTCCATGCCACTACAACAGCTTCCTTGAATGAGGATGGGTTTACCCGGAAGACTTCCGTTCTGGCAACTCCAACTCGGAGGCCCTCCATGAAGACCGTAACGGTCACTGCCTCAGGCATAGGGTCTATGACCATAGCAGCGATGAGAGTTCTCAGCTCTTGCACATATGGCGCATGCTCACGCTTACCTTGGCGACACGCCAAAAACCGCGACCGGTTACGGTGTGCTTGGTTTGGCGGTGCATACTGCCGGGTCATTTGAACTTCCAGATCGGCCCATGTGGGAAAAGCATCTTACAGTGATGCACAACATGTTAATGCCCACTGTTTGGCTAAGCCACCTAACTTGCCCGTGGCAAAGCCCACACGGTACGGTTCATAGGTGATGTCGGCTATAAACATAGCCGACTCGACCTGTCGGAACCAAAGCATAAGGTTGTTACCTTCCGTGCCGTCAAACTTATCGACTTGCATTGGATGGGTTTTGGTCTGCGGACCACTTCTTGCGCCGTAGTCGCCATGGGCGAAGGCGCAGAAGAAGGCATCTGTGCCTTTACATGCTCGACTAGAGCTTTATTATATTCATCAAGCATATGAATACGCTTTTTAACCTCTTCTTCGCCCTGGGCGATGAGATACTCCACGCCCTTAGGGCCAAGGATAGGGAGCCGCTTCTGCAACCCTTCCTGTTGTGCCTGTGACAGGCCAACCGCTTACATCTCATCGATGTCCATTCTCACACAGAGAAGTAGTCGCAAACCCAGGTGCGGGGTTGACTACAAAGTAGGTTTAGGGTGTAGTTAACGATTAAATACACCTGACTTTCAATTGAGCTATACGACCGGCAAATGGAAAATACACCCACGTCGTCCAAAAGTAAGCATAGAATGCTCAAGCTGTAAGGCTTACAGAGCAGGTTTGAGACTGATTTATATTTATGTTTATCTTCTAACACTAAATATAGAAGCACCTATCCTATACTTAGTGCTAGTCACTATTACTGGCTCTATAGCCTTTTATAATTATGCAAACATGCATAGTCACTATACTTTAAATAAGTATAGTGACTACGTGGCTCTCTGCCACCCTTGGTACGGTCACATCACCTACTTTTGTACCCAAGGTACAGTCACACCACATTGGTGTGGCAGGTGTGTATGTAAATACACACCTTCGTTTAACCCCGCAGATGGTTCGGAATATTACTAATTAATAACATTCAACCTTCACGATAATATTCGCATTAACGCCTGACAATAGTGCCAATGCTATGTAACGGGCTCACCGCGTTACAGCCGTAAGAAGAAACGAATGGAGACGTATGATTTGTTTGTATGTCTTAGCTTATGAGTTCTAAGAAAAAATCGATAATGATGAACTCGCTTAGGTTGTGAATTTAAGCCAATTGTCGAATGTAACGATTAGTTGCTCGTCCTATCCAGAATTTCGTCAGATCGAAATCAGAGAGCTCTTTTTTAGGACTCCTGTGTAGATTTAGGACTAATGTATCTTGGTTTTAGAGTCCAAAGAACTGTCTAACCGCTCAGTAGCTCAGATTTGCTAAAGCATGTAACAACCGTAGTCAGGACATTGTGGAATGACCTATTTCGCAAGCTTTGACCGAATCTAAACAGCTGACCGCGCTGACTTGCACTGACTTTCAATCATTTGCCTTGACTATACTAAGCTTCTGGTCAGTCTTCTCCTTTGAAGCTCCTTGACAGGCACAAACCTGTAACTAGAAGTTAACCCTCGGCAATTTTGAGCTTCCTAGCATAAGTGTAATGAAAGTAAGCTCAAGAAATCTCACCAATGGTCTTCACCCAGTCTTAGGTGACGGTGGAGGCATGTTTTCCATCCCAAGTTTTCCATCGGATGACTCTGAAATGTTTGGTGGCAATCCAATGACTGTGGACCCGTCGTCTGCTGCAATGCTACGAGGTCAGCATTTAGCTAAAGGAAGCAGTCGGTCATCATGGTACGAAGATAATGTCTTGTCTAAACGTTTGAGCTGCTACGAAATCATTCGCTTGTTCTTTGACTCGCTATTGCTTATGGTAATTGCGACGGGCATCGTGTTGGCCGCCTATTTACCCGTAGACGTTGAACACGGCTTGCGTTATGGAGTAACCTTACCATATCTCTACGCTGTTTTTGTAGCTATTGCAGGCTACGAGTTTGCATGGTTAGTCTATCTTGTACGTTTAAAGCTCTTTTTGCCTTTCAAGTTATATAAAAAGCAGACATCAAGAGAAATGTACACACAGATTATCCCCTGTGCAGTCGATCTGGAAACATGTGCCATCACGTCTATGGCTGATAAAATGTTTTGTGGAAGTAGAGTATTTGCGGCGGTTTGCATCTCGATCGTCGCTACGGGAGGAGCAGTGGGGTTGTGCTATGTGCCGGGAAGTACGGACATGCCCATAATTTACATTGGAGTTTGTACCTTTGTCGGCATGTTGTCAGCTGCCTTGACGCCCAATATACCAACAGCACTGTGCGTGCTCATTCGTTATGCGTATTTCTTCCTGTCATCACTAAATGTGGTACTACGCAGTAATGCGAGCAAGTCGGGTGTTTTTCATAGTACTGTCAGTGGCAATGAAAGTGGCTCGATCAACGGTTATAGTGGTGGACCAAACAGTCGGCGTGCTATGGATAAATATTTGGCAGTGGTAGTGGAGTCCTACTCGCTGTTGCTACTGAGTGTGTGCCTGTTGTTGATTGTGCGTGCTGTAACGAGCAAAGACTCGATGGATTCGGCTCTTATGATCGTGCTAGATGGCGCCGGTTTGCTTTACCTCAGCTGCTCTTCAGCCGTACTGCAGCTTTTCGAGCAATCGACTCGAGTTCATGCTAGCGGTGCATTGGCAGGATTTTTTGTCATTGTGTGGAGTGCTGAGTTAGGAGCGTTTCTCACTGAGCGTATTCTAAAAGTCGTACAGTATCCGTGGATACATCCATTGTCGATGGTGTCATCTCAGCAGAATATTGAAAAGATGGTTGGGGCAATCGGTTACGCAGTCGGTGCTGCGGTCCTCCTTCCCAATTTCGTCGAGTTTGACATGGACAGCAAATTTGTCGCATTCGTAAGCGCTGCTGCTGTGGTATGTGCCCATGTTGGCAAACTTTTTCTTGTGAGTCTTAAGAAAATTGCCAAAGTTTCTAAAACGGGATCATATTTACGTGTAGGCGGTGGTGTCCTTGATCGCCTCGATACACTGCTCTTTATGGCGATTGTTTTTGCTCCGTTTTTCCATCGTGCTGTTTATAATCAACCACAGTGGTGATTGAATGTCTGACTGCAAGGAAGTACTACATGTAATAGATTCGAGGATAGATTCACATTATCTGTCTTGTTAACCTTCCATGTTGCCCGACTGCTGCAGACTTGCGACACAACCCGTTACATGACAGCGCATTTTTTCTTTCCGTCTTCCAAATCAGCGCCATCATCGTCATGGTCACTCTCAGTTTTACAATCCTTTGTATTCTCATCACTCACATTCGCGTCGCCTTCCTTTTCATCGGCATCAGCCTTCTGCGTACCTTTCTGCTGCTTCTTCACTACGTTGCGCAACCGCTCCACATCTTGCATAGTGAGCACAGTGCTGTTGCGAATGACAAGCTGGTCATTGAAGCCAAATGTCTTACAGCTTAGCTTCAGCTTACGTTGTTCTCCGTCGTGCTCACCCAGCCCCAGTAATTCACCCATTGTGTCCTGCATAAAATGCGGCTGGTTACTAATGACCTCAATCTGTGCGTTTAATGCTCGAGTCAACCAAGCCAACTCGGTCACATCGGGCACGCCTGGATCACCCTTGCGGAACACCACAGCAGAAGGGTACATTGTATCGCTATTAACCTTAGCAATTGGGAGCGAATGTTTCGCGATGATGTCCAAGTCATCAAACGGCAAAGAAGTCTGAGAGCCGTAAAGGATTGACATCTCCTTTGCTCCCCACACGATATTATGCTCCCCAGCCGTTTGTGATGCTTCCAAGCGGAGCACAACTGACCTTGTGGTCTTTCCAGTGACCACGCTGGCACTGTGCATCGCAGTAGCATACCGAAGTGAGCAAGCACAAGACACGTGGAACCCATGACGCTGTGTCCAGGTTGTTAACAAAACCAGATAGCGTCTCGCATATGAATCAAAACTTGACGACATTTCTGAAAACGCAGAATGGCGGAATATTATCGTCGGTACACGAACATTTGTTGGCACTGGTCTTTGAAGTTTTGCTTACAAACCTGCGTGAAGTAAGGCGCACTGTGGCATATGTAGTTGCTAATTTCTTGCACACTCGGTATGAGGTCCATGCAACGCCGTATATCCGTGTACAAAAAGGATTCGGTTGACTACACCATGGAATGCCTGATATATGTGTAGCCGCATAATGTAATTGATGACGCCCTTGGCCTGATCCATTCAGCTGGTTAAGAAATCCATTGTTGTCTTGACGTTCTCACCTACTCGCACATTAACAGCATCGACAGCAACCATGGAATTGGTTTTATACCACTTGAATACCAAAACCAACCATGACTCCAACGAGAGTTTAGGTATGCATTCTTTGCATACAAATATCAAGACTACTTCTTCAACACAGTCCAAGAGTTTCAGTACAACGTTGTGTACGACGGAGATCCATGTCACTTTCGGGTCTCTTCAGTGCATATTCAGTTATTGGGTCTCTTGAGTGCGTAGTTATACAAATTCATCTTGCGTTTGTTTGACTGGTCCATGAAGGAGAACCAGATGGGCGATAGATGGAAGGAGTCTGGAGATAAAAGTAGTAAAATGCCGTCAAACAGAGCAAAACTGTCTTGTTGAAAGGCATGAATTTTATCGTTGCCAACGTGAGATTTACGTGAGAGCCACCTCGTCTACGATAGAGTAGAGAAGCGTACGCTGGTACAAATTAGCATGAGCTCCTGGCTCACACATGGTCAGTCCGAGTGCAGGCCGAGAGGCAGAAAAGGAGCTTGCGTGGCGACACGCACTGCTCCAATGGCGAAAACCTCGCGGCGAGTTGCCTGGTGCACGATCTCAATACGTTCGCCTGGACCGGCGAACAGCACCGTGTGCTGGCCAACCTCGTCACCGAGGCGCAAGGAGCGCGTCGGAGCCTGTCCCGTTTCGCCCAGGCATGGAGCACCCGTAGAAGCAAGCGACTTTACAAGCGTCTTGGCGGTACCACTAGGGGCGTCCAGCTTCTTGGTATGGTGAATCTCCGTAACCTCGACGTTCCAGCCATCAGCAGGCAGCTTAAAGGCAGCAGCCTTAATAAGCTCCGACACAAGAGGCACACCCACCGAAAAATTTGAGCGGAGAGCAACAGGTGACAGCTTCGAATAGGCCTCCAGATCCTCCATAGGCAGAGCACCCGTGGTACCGACGACAAGGGCAGGCAGCTTGTTGATCTTGCCAGCATCCTTTTGCTCGCGCAGGAAAGAGATCAACTTCTTCGTGCCAATAGGCAGCGTCACGTCAATAACGACGTCTACATTGTTGAGGTCCGGAGCCTCGACATCAGTATCGAAACGCGTATCGATCGGTCCTGCAAAAACGGCGCTGTGGTCCGTGATCTTCTGAAGCTCGCCGACAATGAGCGAGCCAAGACGACCGCTGTGGCCGTGAACGGCAACGCGCACGTCCTTTTCCTTGCTGATAGTTGTCGTGGCCTCATCCAGAGCATCCTTTTGCTGGGAAGCAAACACGTTTTGATACTCACGGATGGCGTCAGCAAGACGACGGGCGCCAAGTCGCATGTCGTTGAGGTCGTACCACGAAAAGCTAAGACGCAAGAAGTTCTTCATGTTGCTGCTAAACGAGGCACCCGGCAAGAACATGACCTTATGTTTCTGAGCGATTGGCAACAGGTCGTTCGCGTTCATACCCTCCGGTAGACGCACGAGCACAAAGTAGCCGCCATCTGGAACTTCGAAGGTCGCACCTTCTGGCAAGTGCGCCTTCAGCTCTTTCATCAGAGCGTCAGCACGCCCCCATAGTGTCTGCACCGTCGTATCCAGATGTTGCTGCTGCAGACCCGTCGAGATGGCGGAATGCACAATGCCCGAAATAACAGGGTTGATTCCACCGCTCGAGTCAAGCTGTCCGCAAGCCTCAATCTTGCTTAAAAGCTTGTGTGAGCCCTGAATCCAGCCTAGACGAAGAGCAGGCGCTAAGATTTTGGAAAAACTGCCCAAAGCAAGCACCGTGTCATGCTCGTCAAACGTAAACATGGGTGGAGGTGGGATCACGTGGGGAAAAGACAGTAGCTGATAAACTTCATCAGCAACAATAATAAAGCCATACTTGACACTAAGGTCGACGAGACGCTTGCGCTTCTCGGCCGAAAGCGTGCGTCCAGTGGGGTTATGGCACGTGGGAATCGTGTACAGCACCTTGGGCACAACGCCACGCTTTAGCAGACGTTCAAGTTCGTCAATGTCAAGACCGTCTTCCTCCATGCGGATCTGACGGACATTTACCTTGAAATCTTTCATGATACTAAGTGCTAGGAAATAGGACGGTTCCTCCATGAACACAAGGTCGCCCGACTGTAGAAATAGTGAGCAAATGAGGGCGAGACCACCAGTCACACCATTGGTCACAAAAAGCTTTTCATGATCCACTTCATGCTGATACCCTTTCGTTAAAAACTGAGCCAGTGTTTTACGGAATTTAGGATAGCCCTTAATCACACCGTATTGTAGAAACATCGGGTCTGTTTCGCTAAATTTGAGCATTGCAGCTTCACGAATTTTGTCCAGCGGCAGCATGGAGGGAGCAGGTTGACCGACCTTAAAGTTGATCATTTCATCTGCCTTAGGCACATCATATTGACCGTAATCGCCCATGGGTTCTAGTTTTAGAACTTGATAAGAAAGAGTCTTTTTGACAATAATAATCTAGCTCTCCGAACCAGTCAAATAGAGGAAGTGGGGATAGTCTATAAAAGCCTAGCTTATTGACTGGAGCTTACAAAAAAAATAGTATAGAAATTTCCGACGGCGGTAGATAAATAAAGTAGGGCTTAAGGATCTAAACGTGCTGATTGATTAAGCTCTTGAGCATTTTGTCGTATTAGATCGTTATCTAGTTCTTAATCTATGTATAAATCCGCAGGAGCGAGACAATTTCCTGCTGGCAAATGGGGCAAGTGGGGTATTCTGACGTATGGTTTTGACGATACGTTTCGGCATCCTTCTCGCAAAAAGGCATATGACCGCAAGGCACAATCGCTGTCACCGCTTGCTGATCCTTGCACACTACACACTCGCTCTTTTCAAGAATTACAGCATTCCTTAGTGCGTGAACGTTGCGGTCAACTTCGGCAAGCAGACTGCGGGTTGTCTGCTCCAGCAAGCGCTTTTGGTCGGCTACAAGCGCCATCTTATCGTTCATGTGCTCGCAAAGTTGCTCGTACCGTGACTTCACCGAGTTTTCTTGCTCCAGACGCACCTTCTCAAACGTAAAACGCTTTTCGGCATCGCGCAACAGCACTCGAAGTCGATCTACTTCCACCTCTGCAGCATCCAGTTTCGTTAGCGAATCGTTGAGCTGGCCAAGAAACTCATCTTCACGCTGCTTCCATTTGCGTCGGAGTTGCCGCTCTCCCTGCAGCCGTCGCTGCCATTCCGTCTTAATCTCTGCATTGCGCTTCTTGAGATGCTCAAGCTCACTAACAAGAGAGGCAGTAGAAGGGGTGTTGTCGTCGCTACCCGTGTAATCCTCGTTGCCATCATCATCAACACCACAAATTTGGCGTCTGTTGCCTGATGGTGGTCGAGCTGCTTCCGTGTCGGAATTAGCATCAAAGTGAGCATTTGTGTGTTTTGGCGCCACAGCCTTTTTCTCGCTTGGCAACGGCGTCGTTTTGGCCTTGCCACACACTTTCGTTTCTTCATCGTCAACGTTGCAACTGATTTTTGGTTGAGTAATAAGACCCTTTGCTCGCTTCAATGCTCTTTCTCGCCGCCGCTGGCATTTTAACTTTTCTTTTTGGTCACACGCCAACTGTGCACGATGTAGTTCTTTAGTCTTTGACTCAGGCGGTCCTATCCAGTGCCTCACGTTACGGACTCCACAAACCCAGCAATTGATCCCACGACTTGGAACCAACCACCGCGCGGCAAACGCCTCCGTAGGGTCGACGTTAATATAGCCGTCGTCTTTCTCAATATCTTCGTTACCTGGATTTGTTACCACGGCCATCATAGCTTCGGACTGTGCTTTCTTGCCATTCAACGTAATATGTGGCGTATACACTCTCATTGGCGTCTTGAATAACGTGTTTTCCGAAGCATTCTTGCCAATGATGCGCAAGTCTGCCGCTTCACTGGAACCTACATCAGGTAGATTGTTTGAGTAGTAAAAAATGCCCTCCGTAGACACGGCAATGATGGCCTTTCCGTCATCACTCGCCGATAGTGATTCAAGCATGATGTTGGACCGACGCGACGAACTACCGCCACCGCCACCAATCTTTTCCAACTCAAACTCCTGGCGAGGCAATCGCTCACAAGAGCTCGAGGCAAATCTTGGTGGGTCTGGAAAACAGATTCGGTACGCTTCACCCATTAGCGAAATACCATACGCATACTGACCGTGAATAGCAATGATATCCGAGGTATTTTGAATGCTAAAGTAAGTAGTCACCATGTGAATGCCACCGAAAAAGCTTGTATCATAGGTTTCTGCAGTGGATTCATCGTTGCTTCTCGCTATTGAGCTCGAAAACGTCGTCTTAAACTCTAGCGGCCAGACACGCACATTTTTGTCCTTACAAACTGCTGCAATGGTCAATACGCCAGGAGAGATGCTTGACGGCAGAAAAGCCCCCTGTCATTGCTGTGTTACCTCCAGCACCAAAATTTTGCAAATGTTCCCAAATCGGTTCTTGCTGGTGCAGTTCCGGCTCCACAAAGCGCCATAAATTCAGATTGCCTACTCCAAGACCAGTCAGAATGTAATATGCAGATCTGTCATCATCCGTGTAGAAAAAACAAAATGCAATGAAGGAGGAATGAGTGGAGTTGCAACCGAAAGATAGATAATAATGTGACAACAAACTAACCGTTTTCTCATGCTTTCTTGCTGCTCTTTAGTAAACATATCAGCAGGCGGTATATACGTGGTCACATCAGCAAAGCCCTACAATTGGATTGATATACAAGCAGCACATAAGTATGAAACACGCATTTACTTCAACTAATTCAACGCACTCGAAGTTTGCCGTTAGAATAAAAATGCTTTTGGAATTGCTGAAAGTCGTCATCGTCGCCATCTGAAGTACAGTATAAAATATGAGAGCACTGTGAAGGGAGCCAGCAAGTACCCGTACGCACCTTTCTCGCTACGGTAACGATCCAGATTGATGCTCAGGACAACGCGCGGGCCATGGCGGCAGCCGACAAAAACATAGCGACCGTCGGAAGGAATTTTTACGCGCAAGTGTACATTGGAAGAGCCCTGAGTGGACTGTTCATCAATGTGACCAAGCAGATACCCATGGCGGTCACTGGGCACGCTACTATCCATTTCATATAGACGCACTGAACCGTCCATAAAGCCAACTACAACAGTCTCACCGTCTGGTGTTACATCAAGTGCGGTAGCTACACCTTTCGTTGAAAAACAAATCGATCGTTGGGCAACAACGGGTCGGGAGGAGAAAAACTTGCGCATTGGTGTGAAAAGCTGTGTCGGAGAAGACAAAGGTGGATCCCCAACGCCACTTCGCGGAAAAACCACAGGAGCTGCAGCTGTGGTCGGAGTGGTGCACGATTCAGGAGATTTAAGCGAAGAACTTATCGTTGTTGTAATCGTCGTCTGTTGCGGTACAGCATCACCCGGGTGCGAAAGATCCACCAACATAGGGCCACTGCGAGGCACAAGCGACTTTAATTCCGCCTGTAAAGTCAACGCGACATCACGTTCTGAACTACTCGTCGTCTTTGTACGTTTGGCAGGTGAATGTTTAAACTTGGCCTGGAATGACTGAAAAGGTGACTTTACAGTTTTTGTCACTTTCATCGTCTTGGGAGCTAGTACAACATCCACTTGTTCTAATGCCGACGACAGTAGCAGCGAGTTTCCATTGATTTTTGTTGACGAGGTTGCATTTGCCGTTCCTGTACTATCATCAAACATAAGCAGTCTCTTAGGAGACGCAGAGGCCCTGTGTCTCAGTGGACTCGTTACAAGGTCACTGTGTCTTAAAGGACTGGCTACTGTTCCCGTCCGCTTTGGTCTCGCTGGACTAGCCTGCACCGATCTTCTCGGTAAGCGCACTGGACTTGACAAATGCAGAGGATTCACGGCTTGGACTCGTGCGGGACTTGCCATGAGCGGTGTTGGGCTCTTTAAATTCATAGGATAATTCTGACGTCGAGTGGGACTTGTAAAGGCTGGAGCTCCTCCACTTGCAGTGAGCCGAGCAGGGGAGAGAAGATCCGCTGCAATGGCACTTCTAGCTGTCGCATCAGTCTGTAGAAGCAACGGTTTCTTTCTCTTACTCTCTGCTTCGACTGGGGCCTCCTCCAGCTGTCGCTTCTTTTTAAGCGCTTCTACGATCTGTTGTGCGCGGTTCTTCGTGCTATTACGTGATGCCGCTACGTTTTTCATAATCATTTTCTCCATGTTAATACGATTACGCCGCATATGTTCATTATTATTGCGCACAGCGTGTGGTTTCTTTAAGATTGAAGTTGAAGTCAAGGCGGCAACATTGACGTCAGAGTGATGGTCAGTACTTCTTGAGCCATCATTCGATGCCATCTTGAAGGTGGGATTTAACCTTTGGAGCACGATATTTTTATTTTACCCAATGCCTGAGTCCCTTGTCACCAATGAAGTAGTGACAATCACTCTTTCACGCGAAGCTCCGCGCGCCACTTTTGTTGTCTTTATTGACCAATGAAAATATATTAAGCAATAAAAATTTGTAGCCAATGAATGATAAGAGAGATTAAGCAATAAGGAGACAGACCGATTGAAAAAGATGCGGCCGCTACTGCTTCTGTTGGCAGCGCTTGCTATGGTCCTATTTAACGACTACAATACTGCAAAAGCTGCTACTGACGAGACATTTTCTGACTTTTCAGTATTTGATCTACATGGTCGTCAAGTTTCCATGCACGAGTTTAGCACATTTCGAGTTATTCTCGTGGTTAATGTTGCAAGTGAGTGTGGATACACGGACAAGAATTATCGCGAATTACAGGTGCAGTATAGTGTTATCAAGTGTCTTTTCTCAATCAATTGAAAAAATGAAGGATGAATACTTACTATTGATTGATGTGCTCTTTTTGTTTTGGTGCAACAAACGCAGAAATTGTATGAAAAATACTACGGTAAAGGGTTCACTGTGTTGGGCTTTCCATGCAATCAGTTTGGTGGACAGGAACCTGGTACGGCTGATGAGATCATCAAGTTTACACAGGAAAAGTATCATGTTACGTTTCCGCTGTTTTCTAAGGTAAGGAGTAGTGTTTTGAAGGTGGTGAAGAGATGAAGGAAGATGTTGCTGATGTTGCAAGATTTACTGACTGCGTAGGTGGATGTAAATGGGGACAATGCGCATCCGCTGTTTAAGTTTTTGAAGAATAAACTTGATGGACTTATTACCAACGATATCAAGTGGAACTTTACGAAGTTCCTCATTGTTAATCATGAACCGGTTAAGCGATATGGCACCACTACGTCGCCATTGGAGATTGAGGACGATATCGTGCAGGCGTTGCACAGTAGCCACCATGTGAATGAGTTTGACGACGGAGGTGCGTCCGATGGAGATCATGGTGACACTCACAACGAGTTGTGAGGTGAGGCGCGCGGCAAAGTGTGCTGCGTTTTGTAGCGGTGCTCTGTCATTCGTGCAGTTTTCTGTGCCTGCACCTGTACTATGAATCGTTGATGGCTGAAAATACTCCATCTTTTTCACACAATTCGTGTGAATTTGTCTTCTGCTCTACAGTTACGCTCCGATGTGCCTTACAATCAACCTCGTTTCCGCTATGTGAGTAACGTCACCTTGCAGTTAAATTCGAGTCTGCATCGAGAAGTGTCATACCGCTTTCTGTCAAAGCTTCCAAATGTATTGATGCCTCACTGCTTTGACACTTCCAAGCCGTCCCTGTTCAGATACTGTAGCATGGAATCTTCGAAATTCTTGACGTCCTTGAACCCCATCATCTGCTCCAATGCAAACGCCGTATGAGCAGCACGAATTTTGCGCTGACAGTAAGTAATCACGGGCTTTTCCTTGTCTAGATGAGAACGATGTACAAAAACTTCATCCAACTCGTCCCTGCGCTTGAACTTTCCATTGTGTAAGAAATCCACTCCTTCCATCCAGTTGAAATTCACAGCACCCGGAATGTGTCCTGTTCGTGCATTGCCATTAGCATCTTCTCCCGAAAATTCACCCGGAGACCTCGTATCCACAAACTGTGTAGCCTCATCTGCAATCCCTTTTTGCACGGCATGAAAGCCCACGAGCTTCTTCTGCATGTCCACTGGCTGCATCCAGAGATCTGTTGTGATTCCTCTGTCCTTTACCTCGCCTGTCTCCACCTCATTATCATCAGCAATCCATTGTTTAAGACCTCCGTCTAAAACTTTAAGCTGTTCTAGTGGAAACCCATAATGGCGGAAGACCCACCACATGCGCGTAGCTTTAAGACTCATTTCATCATCGTAGAATACAAGTGTTGCGTCTTGAGGCATCTGTAACATCTTTATAAAGTTTTCAAATAGCTGTAAGCTTATAACACCTGTTGCATGGGGCGTTGGGTCCTTGAATAAAGACGACGTCAATGTAAGTGGAACAGCACTCGGGATGTGACCATCGCGGAACGAGACTGGATGATTGCAGTCTAGAAATAACATGTGTGATTCTCTCAAGTTTTGTACATTGCGAACCCATTTTGAATCCACAAGAGCGGAAAATGACCGATAGATGGACGCAGATGGCAGGGCAAATGAGGTGCAATATCTCCAAGGAGATCGGAGACGATGTGGTGGTCGCATGGGAGGAGTTGTTGAAAAGTAGCGGATATGCATCACGTTTGACAGGATCAAGCTGTCGAACCTTGTCAGGATAATTGTGGAAAGCTCTCATTAGTTTAGGAAGGGATCCAAACCAGACCAGTTCTGATAGCGTAAGTATGATACATACAACCACAACAGCTTAGTTATGGGATTGTAGCCATTACGGATTTGTCTGCCTGGGTTATCAGGCTGTATATGCAAAGAGCGGAACAAGCGTTTTTGTCTTGTTGTGGCGGAGCATGGACGTCTATACGTCAGCAGTAGTCCCATTCGAATGGAACACCTCGTTGTTTGTGTCCCTCGTGTAACCGTGCAAACGTCACTGGATCAACCTCAATCACCATCAATATCTCAACGTCGTGTTTTCAAGAATTTCACGATGAAACTACTTTGTCCTCTTGCAAAAATGAGCAGGAAGATATTGTCACGCCGTTTTGGGGGACACGCGGTCGTGAAACATGTGCATACACGGTTTCTGCGTCGAAACAGGTGTTCAAGGACGTCACGGATCAACGAACAGTTTCATGTTGGTGTGTCACGATGCAATATAGTTGTCAATACACCGATATAGATTAATCGTACAGATTGAACAGTGGTCAAGTGATTGCTGGGCTAACTAATACCGCACCATGAAGTGTACAACGTCTAAAACATCTTCAAACACTTTTTTCTCCATACATTGAGAATTGGTAAAAATAAGAATGATGAAATCGAGTTTGTATTTATGTATGTGCATCGTCGTCGCGTCTACTGTATTGGAGACAAGTTCGATTGCTTTCTTTACGCACCATAGTCGGCAACAGTGATCTCCATCATTGATGACGATAACAGAACTCGGCAAGGCGAATGAAGGCGTCAGCAAGTACCTCGTGTGGTGCTGAAAACACGATACGGAAGTAGTTGGCCATCCCAAAACACTTCCACATAGCAAGTGACAGACGTTAGTTAATCTGCAAAACAAAGTCACCAACGGCTTAATCTTGTAATTAGTTACCTGTCCAGGCAACACGAAGACAGATTCTTCCTCCAGCAGCTTTTGTGTAAGGTCCAAGTCATCCTTGATCGTGGCTAGGATGTCGGTTCTAATTTTTACCTGTTGCAACGGATTAACCAAATGGTAAGTTCCTGCGTTCACAAACCATCTCATAAATCTGTTGCAACTTGCACATACCATAGCTACATCGCACCCTGAGGAACCACCACCTCCAGTCCCGGTATTCTCATGAGAGTTTGGATCGTAAACTTGGCATTTTCCTCCAGAGTTGAGAAATAGTGCTTCTTGAAGTCTACCAATGATTGCTCTTCAGGACTTCCCGAAACCGGCGTAAGCACGTCCGAAATTATACTCTAATACGACATTGGTCAGGACACATTAGCTTTGCTTAAATATCGGCCTCAGTGTGATGACAACGTTGTACCTGGACAAGCGAGTTCGCTCCAAGAATATTTTGTGACAACTTGAAATACGCAGTGCGCACGTCTTTCAGGACATTATTGCGGTCGTGCACCATGACCCAACCTACCCTCCAGCCAGGTATCAAGAATTGCTTCGCCAAGCCACCCACAGCCACTACAGGCACCGTCTTTGTCAATGTCGCCATGGCATAAAACGCGTTGCTTCCGAATTCCTTATCGCCATAAATTTCATCCTAAAGCACTAGTCTCGTGAAAACCCGCAAACAAGCAAAAGACAGAAATTTGGCTTACCGCGATGACGGGAATCTTGTTCAGCTCCGCCAAACCAAGAATTTTCTCCAAGTGAGTCTGCACAACATCAAAGACTAAAGTTTAGCTTGCAAAACAGTCAGGAGTGTTGACTCGTCTTACCTTTGAATAGACACTGCCGCATGGATTAGATGGGTTGTTGACCAAAATAGCCTTTGTATTGTCCTCAACCAAGGACTGCATGTGCTCCAGATCAGCCTCCCAATTTTTTTCCGGCTAATGATAAATTCATCACATGTCTAGTCAGTGTAAATCATCGCTAAAATGAAGTTTGTTTGCTCTGAACCCACCATGAGATTGTAGAATCTGCATTCAATCTTGTGCGCTTCACAAAGTGCTTGGTACAAGGGAAAGCCCGGTTTTGGGAGAAGAATATTGTCACCGGGGTTTAGGAAACCCTGCAGAGCAATTTCAATGGCACCAGAGCATCCACTAGCGATAATAATGTCATCTGCTGTCAATGGGGCACTGTGATATCCAAAACGCTGAGCGATAGCTGCACGGGCTGCTTCCGAACCGGCGGAGTGAATGTAGCCATTGTGGTGCATTGATCTACAGAAACAAAAGTTGAATAAGCAACAAAGCGACTTTCCTCAAGATACAAAGTTGCAATCACGAACCGAGTATGACGAACAACGGCCTGTACCAATACATCAGGGCAATGCAAGTTGCGGGTCACCTGTTATCAAAACGTTGAATTAGTTTACGAGCTTCGGAGCTTTTGGTTGATGTAAATTTCATTGTAAGGTAAGACAAACCGAGTGAAAGTGGAATCAAAGTCTTGGTCGAAGTCGAGGGCTTTTTAAGATTATCGACAATTCTTCGTATTGGGTTTGAGCAGAGCTTGGAAAAGTCGGACGGCAGGACCCATCAATGCCTGTTTAGTGTATAGAACTGGTATTGATGGGTCCCGCCCGCCGTGCTTAATCAATTTACAGCCAAGACTCATGACGTACATTTGCCCGACGCATGAATTGAGAACAAAGCCAAGATAGAGCGTCTTCTTTGCCGTTTTGAACCGCGGAAGGAATCCATGTTACATTCGAGCAGCCCTCAACTCGAGTTGTTGTAGCACATCTGATGGTGCCACTTTTTCTTGTTGCTACGGTCTACATCGATATCATCAAGCTCGAAAACTTTGTACCTGTCTAAGTGCGATAGATATTCTCGCCAATGGATGCTACTGTAGTGCCGACGGTACGGCCGCTTGTAGCCACAGCTCCGTTTCATGACTGATAGCGGTGTTTGTCACGATGCTGCCGTTGCAGAGAGAATAAGCCGCTGCGGCTGGCGAGCTTTTCATGACGCCACTGCGTGGAAGACCAGGCAGGATGCACCAAAAGGTCTAAATTTGCCAACCACCAATCGCTTTTCCACAACTTCTGGTCCAAAAGTTGTGCTCCATAATATTCGCCAAGGCCGTTGAATCTGCACTCATATGCGCAACTTGGTCATGGTTGCTTGGAACTACAAAGAGTTAACTACAAAGTGTTCCAAGCAACCATAACCAAGTTGCGCATATGATCAATTAATTTTCAGTCGTATGGCCGATAAATGACATGGGAGGTCGGCAGAAACAATTGCGCTGAATTGAAAAGATTGTCGCTTATAGTCTTCAAAAGGTTGAAAATGTAGCGTAGCTCACTGCATATTATACCGACGTCTTATCGTACAGCTATAACCTACCTGTTGGTCTTCAAAGAATGGTGTCGCATATGCTTTACAAAGACATAAGAGTAGATACAACATCAAAATATAAAAATTGCCGCAAGATTTGTTCCGGGTCAATGTAAGTATCTCATATTACAAGTCCATACCAAAATATTTACCTGTTCTGTTTTTCTCCCATAAATCAGAGAATTCCTAGCCTTTCCATTGTCTGGATCATATTGACAAAAATGGCATTGTGTACAGTTCTAACGTCTAACCTGCAAATCGCACCGTCCTTTTATTGTGGCTGGCGGCAACCTTGATGTTAGCATCTAATCTTGAGATGAGACACGGAAAACAGCTCTTCGACTTCAATTAGACAAAAAATCGGATAGGATGAGCAACTAGTTGATGCAGTGGACAACCTGTTGTGGTCAAGTATTTCATAGTTTATATGTTCAATTCACCTCTCAAACTGTGAAGTGCTTTGTGAGTTGTTGCCAGCCTCCTCATGCTTTGAGAAAGCAGCGCGTCATCGGACGATGGTCGTTTCCCAAGATGCCTCTGCGCATCCTTTGACTTGGCCAAAGTGAATCATGATCTTTATTGTTGCTAACAACTTTCAGCATCTTCACATTTTTTGTTACCGTAACAAGCTAACAACATCTTCATTGCTCCTGTGACATGGTCACATATGCTTTAACTTGTAAATTACAAAGAGTAGCCAGGTGGGTAGTAGATATATTAAATATAAGTGAAGCTCCCACGAACTGTACTTGCTCAGACTGAACATCCAACGCATGTATTCCCGATCTTCATATCCATGCTCATTATCTCAAGCGTACGATCAAGCTTCTGAACAGTTCCTCGAGCGCTTGGGTTGGTTCATACACCGTATGTAAGACTTAAGGCCAGCTCGTTTAGTTCATTACGCAATTTGCACCCGATAGCTACAGTCGTCCAGTACTCCTCAATTCACTCACAACTATGCGCTTTATTGTCTTCATCTTGCCTGCCGCTTCGGCCCACATTATTTTCAACACGGGCGACGTGGTCATGGCGTCTCCGGCAGCTAACGTTGAGACCGTCCCGCTGGAAAGGGGTGGAACGAGATTTCTACGCGCAAGAGACAGCGATTTAAGCGATGAAGAAAGGATGAATCATCTAGATGGGTTTGCATTGCGATTTAGTCGCTCTAGCGAGTCATTACCCAAAGAGGAAGTGGCAGAAGTTTCAGCAAGGTCAAATCCGTACAGGTCTTACGTGGTTGATGCAACAAACGACGTAGATCCAGCTCTTCTCGAAATATTATCAATCGTGAGATGTATACATTCAGACGATCTGAAGAGACTTAGTGGGAATCCGACCGATGCTTTTCAAACGAACAATCAAGTGAGCTTAGAGCGTATGCAAACATGATTATGATTAGAAATGAGTAATCTACACAACGATGAATTGGATCAACTGCTGACGAGAATTCGCGGGAACGAGACTGCGATGAAACACTTTCCTCTGTACATGGATTACACTACGCCAGACACGGAGAAACTTTTCAAGGTAATTTTTCGGGGGAAAGGAGCTGTTCATAGAGAGAAGAAAGAAGCTTATGACTTATTGGCGGAAGCTCGCGAATTATATGCCTCATTGACCAAGCCATATCGAGCGATATAGTAATTGTGCGTTTGTAGATATAGCAAGAATGACTTGTAGACGCTACACCTTACTGGAGCATCACTTACGATGCTTTCAACTATAAGACCAAAACATGCATGTGATAATGTTCGTGCTTGTTTACATTACTTCATGTAGTAGAAGGCAAGGCTGTTACTAGGATAACGCGAGTAGAAAATGGCTTCGAAAATGCAAAATGAATAGTAACGACAGTTCAACCTCTACAAATAGCTATCCTACAACCTACAGAACTATGAGTCGATGGGAAAGTTATTGCCTAACTCTGCTAATAGACAGGATTCTCTGACCCGCTACGCTATATGACATTGAATCATTTTTACTATTTTCCATCAAAAACACTCATCTAGAAGAACGACTGTAGATCGATTCTCGTTTATCTTCTGTCTTTAGCTAGCAGGACTGTGAGCTGCTCCATGCTAGATACGGCTGTCTTCGGGTTCATTTTCCTCATGAGATTGTTCGCGCTGCTCTTGTCAAAGACATCATTCACGCGTCTAAATGAGACCGTTGCGCTGTATAGTGTCATCTTTCGGAGTAAAAGCTCCTGCAAACCCCTTAGCCGCTTCTCAGCTTCACTCCAACTCTCTCGCACACCAGTGTTCCTACGTGCCAGTAGGTCTTAACGACTTGAAATAACACATGATGGCATCCGCAGACAGCATGAAACACGTGATGCATGTCTCAATTGATGTGATGCATGTCTCAAGGATGTGCAGCAAGTCTACCAATGTATTCAAAGCGGGCAGGTCCACGTCACGTCGGCCCTTGGCATCTTCACTAGCAACCACCCGCGTCGGATGATTCCTATCGATAGAACGCCGATACACCGGAGATTTTTCAGAACGAGCAGTAGTTGGTTCAGTAGTTCTACGTGCGGGCGGCTGCGATTCAAACCACGGATTGCTGCAAAAATGGTCGACGAGATCTGTAGCTGAACGCACTTGCGGCAACATTCACGCGAGTATCGAGTACAGACTTCGATAGTATGGCTTGCAAACAGCATGTCCTGTAGTCGCTTTCCGTGCAGTAGCATGTACAAGGCCATATCGAGTCGTGCACCCAACGTCTGCCGCTGCTCTGACTGAACGCTCTTCTCCTCGTTGGACTTGACCCTCAATTGCTGCAGACTGGTCGATCATGTGTTAGACCCAGCGTGCCGCTCTTGTCCAAACAACTTCATTGTTGATAGCTTCTCGCGCTGGTGAATAATCTTAGGGGTGCTGTGGTACAAGCGAATTAAGGTGCCACGCCACCACGCCTGAAGCTACATCAGGACCACGAGGTGGCAATTACTCTCGCGTGATGGCAGTATTGCCTTTTCGTAAAGCCGCAACGCTAAGATACGTCCTGCGCACGACTTGACCATAGCCAATGCCAACGCTTCCATTTCGTACTGGCGTTCCATCTCTTCCATCCGCTGACGTTCTATCCATTTACAGCAGCATCCCCGCCACCATACCTGCACACAGTGAGCAGCATCATTCATCTGCCGTCGTCGCTGAATCCGTGCGTCCATAAGACTCCGAAAGCAGAATGATTGCCAGCACATCGCAATTTTGTTTGCATCACCACTACGTTTTCGTACAATACCAGCGCTGAGTCGCGTCCAGTGAGATCGTATCACTAACGTACGCTTTTTGTGAAACTTCATCATGCGGTATATGTACCACCGTTCGATCTGCCAGCAGGACATCAGCACATGCATCCGTTTCAGTTGAGTCTGAAGGGCGTAAAAGTTGAACCGACAACGCGATATCCATCCGCGCACGCACTTCTGAATGCTAACAGAAGCACGGTGATGATACATCGCTCGTTGGAACTTCCTCACCACCAGCCACGACCGAATCGAGTGCTGCATTACCACCACACTTGTACGCTTCTTGGCATATCGCTGTTGCTCTTTGAAGCCACGAAAAACCGCATGAATGAGAGTAGCTGCAAGCATTCGTTTGCGATACGCGTAAGATCGATAAACTGACTGGATGTGGCGCGCTGCACGATGCTTTACACACTTCTGTAAGCGTCGAAGACGATCCTGGCGGATACGTTCTTGTCGGTCTTTCTCGTCTTGCTGCATGCGCCGGTACCGTAAAAGCAAACCTCCAAAAGCCAGCAGCACTCAAAGCTGTTTTTGACGGCGCCATGTCCGAATGTTCTTCTGGAACAAGCATGCGCTCTGCTGGAGACTGGATTACCACTTCCTAGTTAACCATGCTAGCACCACGCTTTGGATTCTTGTTGCAGCAAACGTTCGCTTCTGGGATCGGAAATTTCGGTAACCGTTTTGAATGTGGTACGCAGCCTTCGTTTCCACCTTGTATTAAATGTCTTGAGATACGCGTTGTTGCGTTTCGTTTGCTCTGTTTTGCTGGTAGATCTTCAACACACCGTAAATGTGCGTTAGCGCACAAAGCTGCCGCCTCCGACGCCACACGCGAACATTGCGCTGCAGAACTACAGCAGCACGTTTCTCCAGGCAAAAGTGCAATCTCAACGTTGCACCACGGAATGCGCTTGCAAGCTGGGTTGCTGCTACCTCTCGCTTCCGGAACATAAACGTACGAAAAAACCTCTCTGGATACAGTTGGCAGCACGCATCTCTACTTTGCATTTTAGCTTCATCTGTCTCTTCTGAAGCTCTTCCGTTTTCATTAGTTGCTCAAAGCGCCGGAAAGACAGGATCCGTTTGCTTTCTTCTAGGTGGCGTTGAAAGGAACCCCAAGCCAATTGAATGACTTGTGCCGCCTGATGCTCTCGTCGCCACGCTTGTGCACGGTGCATCCTTGCAGCGACACGCAAACGACCTCGTCGCCAAGCAACTTGAACACGAGAAACAGCTGCATGACGGTCAGCAATTATTTGCTGTCGAACAAGACGAGCGCCCTCTCTAGACAAATGCTGCAGCCAGTGTTGCTCGATGACACCACAGATGACCTTCGCAAGAACGTGGTTTGCGACCTCGTGGTGTAGAGCCTGCTGTGCCTTCAGCTTGCTTTTCTGGTGCCTCCGTTTGAGGTATTTCCGCCAACAACACTGGATTATTTGAGCTGCATCAAGCAAATCTCCATTCATGCGCAGTTACCGAAGAGTGAGAAACGTCGTCTGTATGATACCTACCGCTTTCCGAAGCTGCAGGAAGTGCTTCTGGTCACTCAGGTGAGCAATGTGCTTGTTACATAGTGTGCTGCTCGTAAGAGTTTACGGCACTGACGAATCGTTTCTGACTGGACGTGTGCCAAAACCGCTGAATAAAAAATTCGAGCACTAGTATTCTTTTTACGAAGCAGTCGCAATCGAATCAGCGGGTTCTTCCACCATCATTTTAGCCTATAGGCAGCGTGGATCTCACTGCACTAGTCCATCAGACGTGATTGCAAGTAGCAAACGTACGTTACTACTATCTTCTCCTCCGGCGGGTTCTTTGTATTGTATTGTCGAGGCATGCATGATCACTGAAACCTCGCTAAGCTGCTTGATGCGGTTGTTACTAATAGCAAAGTGCCGCTGTTTGTTGCCTAAAAGAGTTTTCTCGCTGATCTGCTGCTGATCATCGGCGCCACTTATATCACTGGTTGTTGGTAGCACATCCAAATTTGATAAAAGCATCGGATGATAGTAATGAAGCAGATAACATTGTGCTTCCCGTCAGCAAAGGACCCGGAAAAGTTGTACTCGGCAGACTTGACGTTTGGTTGGAAAGGCAACGATTTCACTTTGAACAAACTCACAACTTTGCTGTCACCCATGCAAAGAGTGCTAAGACTTTTCAGCCACCATAGTTAAGCCAATGAGCACATTAAATAAATGCCGCGACGTTAGAGGCAACTGCATCCTTTTACCAATTATCTAGTCCTTTATCAATTCGGCTTTTAGAGGCCTGCGGTATCCAGCTTTACTTCACCAACATTCCGGTATATGGCGATCTAGTAACGGTTGCGACGCTCGTTCAAATTGTTAGAGCATCCCGATACGGTAAGGCTGCTGAATAATATAGAGCATAAATGTAAATTACGGATTGTATTTTTCTACTTATAATTACGAAGAGCTTTTTCTCAAATCGGAGTTAGCAAAATTTAAAGTAACCATCTGTAACCATCTCCATGTAACTTGCGTAACCAATAAACCAGGGAAAGTCCTTTAATTTGGATCTACTCGAGTAACTATGAGCTCATCCGCTGCTGTCTCAAAGGCTCGGCCCTATGGAGATCTGAAGGAGATTATCAGTATCAAGGATTGTTATTGTCTTAATGAAGACCCTAAAAATACATTTTGTAACCTTTTTGTAGGTGACGAAACACTGCAATTAAAGTCCGATGCTGATGGTAAAATGAGGGTTGAAATGCCAAAATTTAGAAACTAGCGCTAAATGTTAGCATATTTTATCCTTATTTTTGCATATTTTGAATTTTTTTTGTAATTTATGCACATAGAGCAATTAATGCTCTATATTGAGTTCCAGGATACGGTCAAGCTCTATTCCCTGAATCTCGTGGCTCCATCGGGTTCAGAAGCTCCTCGTCTTTTGCAAGTCTTTATAAATCGTCCAAATCTTGGCTTTTCAGATGCAGGAGATGTTGAACCTACGCAGATTATTGCGCTAAAGGAAGAAGATTTATTGCCTGAGAATGATGTCGAGTTACGTTTTGTCAAGTTCCAGCGTGTGAAAAACATTACAATTTTTGTAGAAGCGAACAATGGTGCTGACGAAACTGTCATTTCAAGTCTCAAGTTCTTTGGTACAAGAATATTCACGCTGTAGCTGTTTTGTTTATGGTGATGGTGGACCTCATTAAGCTGTTTGTGTCTTTGTCTTTCATTGTGTTTCTTTGTATAGGTGAACCTCTTGCAGGAACAAACATGAACGAGTTTAAAAAGATCAGCGATGAATGAGAAGAGGTTTCATTTTGGCAACTTTACTGCTCTGAATACAGTCAACATGTGAGATCGGGTGCGATGTTGTTGTATTCTTTCTATTCAGTATCGACGCGACAAAGATACTGTTGTTACAAGGCGTTGACATTAGTGTTTGACAAGTGCAAGTGCAAGAGCATGTTGTAATTTAGCTCCATAGCACGCGTCGTTGTTTGTAATGGCTTTCGCTGTTTGTAATGGCTTTCACTGTTGGTAATGGCTTTCGCCAGTAGCCTGCGCATGTTACTTTTGTACTTGCGTGAGCTAGCTGTACAATGATACAAGGAGCCAAGATGTGCGATGCAGTTTTGCTTGAAGACGTGTATGGCATCAGCCTCGATGTGGTTTCGAATGCCCAAGTCGCACAGTCATACTTGGCAAACAATTGTCGGATGTGGACCACTAACATGACGCTCGAGATTCCGGCAAAAGTATGCATGCTCATCGAGTGAAGCTTGGTGTGACTTTTCGGCAATCTTTTTGTTTTCTAGCGGCCTCTGGTTCTTTTGCTTGTGGGAAGTCTTCCAGCATTCGCAGCGTAGCTCGTTGATCATTTGGCTGAGACGATGTTTTATTTTTTTCAGTCTAGCTTTCATATGTCCACAGCAACGAAATTAGAGACTGCTCATCGATGAGATTGCCCAACGTCTGTACACAACCGTTTGCGTTGCTGAACGCGCAATGTAGCCACGAAACATGCGACGCTTTACCTGTTCAGTTTCACTTGTCAAGATCAAGTCCATATTGACGCGATGAATGCGCTTTAACGCTAGGAAACGCAATGGCATTGACCCATCTAGGTAGAGGTGATCGTAGCACGTACATGCTGACCTTAAAAAAGCCGCTGTTGCTGGATGTCTGTGACAGCAATGCAGTTGCTTACACTCTAATCATCAGCGTCACTGTGTAGAGAAAGCGTCAGAAGATGTTCAGCACTCAGTTGGCATAGCTTCATGTGGAAGCTTCGTTAAGACTCTACTTGGTGCCATGACTCTGTCAACAGTTGACAAACACGTCGCTCACTACTCAAGGTAAGAACACGCTTTCGTTCACGAGGACAGATTCTATTAAGGCAAATGCAAGTTTTCTTCCAGAAAAATGGCTGAGCTAACACGTCGACATTCATCTGACCCTTCATGATCGCATCAGTGCTTCTTTTGCGCTTTTTGATTGGTTTAGCACTTCAACTTGGCGGTAGACGTTACTGAACACTCCATTCAAAGAAAGTAACGGACGGGATTGTCCAGAAGAGACGAGAAACCAGCGAAAAGTCCACGATCGACATTTTTTCGTGAGCTTTCTATCTACTCAAACGTCTCACACGATGGAGTTATTTGCAACTTTAGACGTTGGTCACATTGAGGATTACCAAGCCATTACACGAATTATGGCGTCTCGGGACAAACGATGGTTAGCAAGTCTTGGACTCAAAGGACCTCGTAGTACTTCTCACTTGGCATATAGTACCAAGTGTAGTGCATACGAAGCAGAACAAGTAGATCCAGATAGTGAGATGGAAGCACTTGAGGAGGAGATGATGGACATGGCAATTAATACACGGATGGAGAACGAACGACCAAATGCACTCACTTTGCGACTTCTTCGAGATAACATCGCCTTGTACATGCATACAAAGCATCGAACTCGATCACCTAAAGTAGATAAGCAAGAGATTGATGCGATGCTACGTAAGAAATTGCTGCGCATTGACTGGCTTGATATTGGCAAGATTGAAAATCTTGACGCGTTTACACACGTGGAAGAGCTATATCTACAGTACAATCTAATTGAGACGATCGAAGGTTTAGACAAGCATGGACAACTCAAGCTTCTTGCGCTTGCTGGAAACCGAATTCGTCAAGTCAAGAACTTGAAACATCTAAGAAATGTACGTCGTCATGATCTCTTTCTTACGTGGTCAGATAGGTAGGTGTTGTTGCTCATACACGATACTTTGATGTGCTTTAGCTCAAGGTTTTAGACTTGTCAATGAATTACATCGACATGTTTGACGTAAGCGAACTCCCGCCATCTCTCCGCGTATTGCAACTTGCCGGAAATCCCTTTGTGCTGCACACACCAGCCTACGCACCATTAATCTTCGAGAGATTGCCGAATCTTGTGGAGGTTGATCACTTTCGACGAACCTCATCGAGAATGTCACTAAAAACTGAAAAGTCAGCACTCGATAGTGAGATCGCAGCTTCGAACATTCGACCAGCCGTATTGCCTCAACCTGTGCCTCATTTGCCAATCGACCAATACCGTGCACTGCAGGTCGAAGTGGAGCTATCTCAAAACGAACAGGATCTTCTTGACAACCAAGAAACAAAAAACATGGTGGTCTCTGATCAACTCGATAACAAACATCAGCGTAACGATCGGATTTAAGACTGAAGCTGCAGCTGACAGTGTTGACGTCGCGAACACGAGAACAGTTAGTAGAGAGCGGGATTTGATCCAGACTCGAACGAGCGACAGGTTCCGCGAAAGACGTTAACATGCAAAATCGCGCGCTCAACCAGCTGCAGATGCAGCCTTTTGTGACGCTGTAAGTCACCTGAAGTAGGTGCGCCTTTGCGTACGTTGTAGGTGATATAGCGTCCGACGATGGACTTACATTTCTGCTGTTTTTTCAGATCAAACGGCGCATCAAAACTGGTAACAAAGCAGCAAAGACGGCCAACACTCTCACACGCGAAGAACGAAAGACATAACGCGGTTAAGGAATGAAACCAAGACACTACATGGCCCTTCAACCTTATGACAATGTAACTATATCAAGTACGAGCAAGCAACATGAGACTATGTAGGATTCTTACGACTAAGCACTTACAGTTGAATAGCAAAGCTTGTGTCGCATGGTACCGCCTGGGAGATATACGACGATAGTGTCCGTAGATGCAGTTTGAACTCGTGCAGGGTGAGATTTTTTACATTCGGCACATACAGAGCCTTGAAAACGACAAAAGGTGCGATTTTGTACGCATCACCACACGCTGCAATGTCCGTTTGATGAGGACTCACCACCACGAGTCCAAACTTGCCGGTTATCGGGTCAAAAAGTCTCTGCGGTGCATGGCCAAACAATTGGTCACGACACAAACTCTGGAGCAAATTGACTCGCGACGCAGCTTTGTCAGATGCACTCTGGAATGTGGTTGGAGCTCCAACGACGTGTACATTGGTCAGTATCGTGGAGCTACTGAGACAATAGGCAAGTCTTGGAAAAAATGTTCGGCATGTGGCTTCAACCAATTGCACGCTATCGTCACTTATGATAAAGACTGGACCGTGATTTGACACTGAAGTAAGAAGCTGAATGAGTTCTTGTTCAATTGTTGCAAATACCGCCTGGAGGTTTGGAGTCCGTAGAATTTGTTGTTTCGTAGCTTGGAGAGCTGGAATGGATGGGTGAAAGCCTAACTGTTGACGCATCCAATTGATTGGCATGAGAAGATTCTCCCAATAGAAGATAAAGGCATTGGGGAATTCAGTATCAGGACGTTTCATAGCTGGATATTCATATAGATCATTGGAATACGTGGATATATCCATGGAGAAGGATGAGACCATGGTTTGCGACATGATAAGATGATGATTATTTGTCGTATTTATGGATACAGGTAAACAATCCGACATATTGTCACCTAGAATCAGATTGAATACGTCCGGATTCATGAAGTAATGAGAAATAGAAAAGTCGCACGTTGAAAGTAAGAAATTTACAAATGAAGTAACTTTTGTTCAACAACGTTTGATCTGTGAAACGAGTTGTGATTGGTTGGTTGTGATCATTGTAATGCTCATTCATTCGTTTATAAATGCATAGGTACGTTTTTACTGCTACATACAATATTGAAATCACAAGTCTCTTGCGGAACCAAAGGAACTGATAGGTAACCTTGGTAAAACAAGGATGTAACCACTATCAATATGATAGCAAGAGATGAACCAGTATGTACCGCGCAAATTCGAATCGTTCTCATTCGTGACAGAACATTAAAGTCTGAGTTACTGAGTCAAAGGGCCTAGAGTTTACTTTTGGACGCCAAAGCCTTTGCTGAGCATAAATTTGTCTAGGGCTTAGGCTCCATTTTGCTTCGCAAAATAAGGCAGTTTATCATATATCTATGGTGTCGGGTGTCTCGTGTCGGTCTTTGCTTGCAGCGTCTTTACATCTGGTTCTGATAGAAGCTTAAAGTCGCGGCGCTTGAGTGACGTTAACGTGAGTCATAGCAATAAGCTTACGTAGCAATAAATCTACACCTGTGACCCCGTACAAGTCGAATAGATAATGAGGGCAGGCGCAGATGGAATTAGGAATGGATGCAAGGATTGGATATATCTGCTTGCTGAGAAAGCATCATATAATCCATGTGTTGACCCTGTATGCATTTGTCTATTATTATTCGTGTAACACAGAATTTATAAATTGTATCATCGAATTTGTATATTTTTTTATATCACCGAACTCTTGAATTGTATTTCACCACAGAATCAGATTACTATGCAACAAAACCAATTGTTTTGAATATATCATAATGCCAAGCACGGATTAGTAACCATGTAATAAAAAGGTGATCAGTGTGGCATAATGCGAACAGAAGAGTGGTAAACAAAGTATTACGGTCGTACTTGGTCACTTTTTATGTCTGCTTGAAGTTTGATCTAGTCAGTTGCTGCGAATCAGACACTCCTCGTGCAACTTCTCGGCAACATTTCTCCCTTGTTGACGTGTGGCACACGATTTCTATCGTCATCTTCGTCTTCTAAGCTCATTCGTGGAATCCGGTGCCCAGTATGGAGTGGCTGGATATTGCAAAAGACCTGAACGCTGGTACTATTGGTGGCGTCGCAGGTATCGTGACTGGTCATCCGCTAGACACCGTCAAAGTGCAGCTGCAAACCAGTCGTGAGGCAAGTGTAGGGGTTTTGCGCACAATACAGCGTGTTGTAGGTTCCGAAGGTGCTGCAGGACTCTATAGAGGCCTGTTGTCCCCAATACTAAGCAACGCACCAATCAATGCAGTGGTATTTGGAGTACAAGGACAGGTGGTTCGTAGACTACAAACGAGGGATGACAGTCCTTTGTCTAGTGGCCAGCATTTTATGGCTGGATCCAGTGCTGGATTAGTACAAGTCGTGTTTGCAGCACCATCAGAGCATGTAAAGATTCAGCTACAGACAGGAGCTATGGGTAAAGAAAACAGCTCTTTAGCTGCAGCCAAGAAAATTGTAAGAAGATATGGCATGACCATGCTGTTCAAGGGATGGCAGGTGTGTCTTTTGAGAGACGTACCGGCATTTGGAGCCTACTTCTGTGGCTACGAGGCTTCAAAACGAGCATTGACGGCAGGACGAAGTGAAAACGAGACTGATCTTAAGCTTATGATGGCGGGAGGCATTGCAGGGATGCTATCGTGGGTTGTAAGCATGCCACAAGACGTGGTCAAAAGCTGCGTGCAGAGTCAAGGTCTTGAGGGCAAACAGAGGAGTATAACGGAGATCGTGAGAACTAGGATGCAACAGGAAGGACTGGGCTTTTTCTTTAAGGGTTTCAGTGCGACTATGCTCAGAGCTTTTCCTGTCAGCGCTGTGACATTCCTTGTCTATGAGAAGGCCATGCAGTTCATGTCCTGATCGTGGGCACATCAAAGCAAAGGAGGTTGTGAGACTGACTGTTTGGGTCGCTTGGAAAGGTTATGCCCTTTGTCGGTAAGTTGGCGTACGTTTGCCATGAGAGATGTAACTACATGTATTTTGAAGATAATAGATCATAAGTAGCCAGTATTGATGTTTGTTTGTCTGCTCATGACCTGCACAACGCAAACGGTGATAGGAAAGATGACAATTCTTAAGATTCTGCTGTCATGTAAATGAGTTGAGGATAGCAACGAGTTACAACACAATACAGACTTTAAACTGTTGTATGCTTTACTTTTAATCCCTTAAACTTGCATCAAGCTATCGTGGTATTAGGTCGGCATTCAGACTCTAGCTCGCAAACTCTTAGCCCGTCTTCTGCTTCTTCGATACCTGCTCCTCCTGCTCATTCGGAGCCCGGCCAAACACCTCGTTTAGCTGCTGAGAAACACGGATGAATGTTGTGCGCTAGAAAATCACAGCAGTGGTTAGACACACATTAAACACGTGCAGGCAACATTACACAAAGTGTTTGATCGTACCTTACTAATTTCCTTCAGCTTACTGGCTCCAACGTAGGTGCATGTAGAGCGCACACCACCCAAAATCTCTTTGCATGTTGAGGCAACTGAGCCTCGATACGGCACCGTCACGCTCTTACCTTCGGACGATCGATACTCGGCTACCCCACCATTGTGCTTCTTCATGGCCTCGGATGAGCTCATTCCATAAAACTTTTTAAACATCTTGCCACACATCTCAATTTTCTCACCACCGCTCTCGTCGTGGCCAGCGAGCATGCCACCAAGCATGACAAAGTCAGCTCCAGCACCAAACGCCTTCGCTACATCACCCGGACACGTGCAGCCACCGTCAGCAATCACGTGGCCATTGAGTCCGTGGGCAGCGTCTGCGCATTCCAGCACTGCAGATAGTTGGGGATAGCCCACGCCCGTCTGTTTGCGGGTAGTGCAGACCGAGCCCGGACCGATGCCGACCTTGATGATGTCAGCTCCCGATAGTAACAGTTCCTCTACCATCTCCCCTGTCACTACATTACCGGCAATGATTGTATGCTCAGGGAAAGCAGAGCGTACATTGCGAACTGCCTGCACAAAAAACTCCGAATAGCCATTCGCCACATCTAGACAAATGAAGTGGATATCCGGATGACTTTTTAGAATGATTGATATCTTGTCAAAATCTGCAGCACTGGATCCTGCACTCACTGCAACAGTAGACAGCACGTTCGGGTAGGTAGCAGCAAAGGTCGCCCACTCTGATGGCGTATAGTGCTTGTGCACGCACGTAATGAACCCAAATTTAGCCAATTCCACGGCCATTTCGAAAGTACCAACAGTGTCCATATTGGCAGCAATTATCGGCTACAACAACACGTATACAACGATCAATTTCGCTACATAAAGAAGAGAGAAACAAAGGAAAACACAGCACAAACTACGTACCACACCAATCCATGTGCGCTTCGAGTTACGAAAGTGGAACTCACGCTGAACGTCCACTTGGGAACGACTTTTGAGCGTCGAGCGCTTGGGGCGGATAAGCACGTCCTTAAAGTCTAGACGGACTTCAGTCTCAATACGTGGCATATTAGTCTATTGCGGTAGAAGAGAGTAAATTGAAGAATGAGCCATGGCTGCACGACGTGGCGGAATGAATGTTTTTGATCTGAAGTAACACAATTGATCTATCCTAAATTGATAACTACATTTTGAAAATAAAAAGAGTACAGAAGTGTCCTATTAGACTGCTACTTTTGCTCCTTATTGCTACTTTTAGTCTGATATAATGCTAAGGAAGTAACGGAAACACGCAACGAGACGAACAAGAAAGAAACGGTCCAGTACCTTTCTCTTGGATAAAGGCAGTGCATAGAGGCTGAGAGAGGCAGTGAACGTGGAGACGTGGATTACTAGTCAAAACACGGTCATTTCTTGGAGCGATTTGTAAGCCGTAAAGAAAAAAAAGAACATTGCAACATCTTTGAGTATGTTTGCATTCTGGATGTAAAGGCGTGGTATACTTGATAATGGCAAGGTATGCAAAAGCTGTTTCATGGAATATAATCTAACATGAAATGATGAGAGCTAGCACAGTTCAAGGATATGATGTTAATGATACTGCCTCGAAACTTTGTAGCTAGGACGCCGAAACAGCCCAAGATTAAAACTTGTGTGATGTTTCGACCAATACTGATGGTGGAAATTTACTAGTGAAATGATCATGTACGGTACGACTCATCCAAGAATCAACGGCATTAGTGTAGAATGTTCCAGGTGCATGCGCATGTTACATGATGGGCGCTTTGTACTCGACCGTCGGTATCTCGTCGGGGTACAATATCTAGATGATTATACAACGAGAACATATCCAACAATCCAATCGTGAGACTAAAGCAAACAGCGTTGAGCTTAACGTTGCGTTATTTACAGTTCCGAGATCGAGCCTTCGTCTACACGTGAGAACGTTGGAACCGGCCCTGGCATTGCAGTCGTGATCGAGAAACTACGACGATGAAGGTTTTATATTCAAAGCCACTACTGCCGCGTGCAAACAATTCGACCAAACAGATATGTGAAGCAACTCGTCGTTGATCCTACTACGAGATCGTAGCTGAATTATCATAGGCATGGCTGTATTTTGAATCGTGTCAAGGAAGGGTTGCTAGAGCATTGCACGGACCATTCCGTGTCGCTGACATACCATATATCGGAGAGTATACCATTACTCAGATTTAAGCCAAGTACCAGCAAATGTCGACGATGGTGCTGCAAGCTCAAGCTTCAAAACCCAAAAGCCATATTAGGAATGATGGTGAGAATTGTCGTGGCTAAAGAACGTTGCGCCGGGAATCAAGGATGCGTCACCAAAATGTCCACGGCTAGCTAAAGGAAAACATCAAGAATTGCCTGATTGGATCCAGCGCTGACGTCACCGACCCTGAAGATACATGACAAAGGACTCTTTGACGTTGTGGTCACGGGCCTTAGTTCATCTACAGCCGCTCTCTTACGTGTCTTTGTGCAAAAGACGCCGGGATGAAGTCTTGGTTTAAAGCCTGGATCATAGCTGATTGCATCCTTCACTATTTCTTGTGCAAGAATGCATACTGCCACTCACAACAATGAGCCGCAGTTCTTTCCTGACTTGCGTGTGCAAGCTATTCAGGACAATGGTGAGGAGGCAACGGATGGCGTGGATGCAATAGCTTACGTTTCCGACTGCGACGAATCGAATGATTTGGAGCAAGTCTTATAAATCAGACGAACGAGCATTCGTTTTATAGTGTATAGTCATACTGGACCCGCCTGGAACGAGGTAACGTGCAATCTCGCTGAGCCTCGTGAGAAGCTTATTTGAAGCTAGCTTAGTCATGAGAATCCCATGTATTCCTCACCAAGCACAAACGCAGACGTGTAAGAAACCTGAAAGAATCAGTGCATGCGAGATGTCCAACCGACTATTAGAATTTCCAGCTTCACTCATACAGTTTTACCATGGCTTTTAATCCTTATGTAAGGTTTAGTATAACTGTAATAACAACCTGAAGTCGCTACGTCACCTCGATAATTGTAAAGCAATGTATGCTACCTTTAATGAACAACAGTGCATTCCTTCTAGCTAATTATTGTTATAATTTACTATCACTTTATGTAAGAAACAAGACAACCCCTTCGTAACTATAACTTTACAAAATTTGACTACCGGTATCGACTCCATGTACTGTTAAAAGTTATTCCTTTTTCTAATTATGGTCAGTTAGAAATACAAATCCCTGAATAATAGACCACTTGAACGCCAACCATCAGTTTCTACTGAACAAAATTCTTGATCTCTCTTGTGCTAGAGAACTGCACGTAGTGATTGAGAGCTTCATTCAAGTTCAGTAGATACAGTGCCGTTATGTCGTTCCGTGGTGGACGTGAAGGCGCTTATGGTGGACGCGGTGGAGCTCGTGGTGGCAGTTTTAGTGGACGTGGTGGTGGACGCGGTGGTGGACGCGGTGGTGGACGCGTTGGTGGTCGTGGTGGGTTCCGTGAGCCCGAGGGTCCGCCGTCTTTCGTCGTCGGTGCGTGCAGCGATTGACATGCATGGAAGTTAGTATTGACAAACTGTGTTTATGTCTGATCAATTTCTCAACTTGCCATTCTAGAGCTGGGTTCCTTTATCCACGCGTGCGAGAATGAAATGGTATACAAGAGCACCAATGATAAGGTGCCATACTTCAATGCTGGTGCTTTTTTGGAAAACAAGACACGTATTGGCAAGGTAGACGAGATACTCGGCTCCATCAATGAGGTCATGTTTACAGTAAAGCCTGATACGGGCGTGTCAGCCACATCATTTCAAGCGGGAGACAAGGTGTTCATCAGCCCTGACAAGCTACTTCCTCTTAGCCGGTTTACTGAGAAGCCTGACAAAAAGCCGGCAGGTGCTGGTCGCGGCGGCCGTGGTGGTCGTGGCGGTGCGCGTGGTGGTGGTGCTCGTGGAGGAGGTCGTGGCACAGGCCGTGGCGGCTTTAGTGGACGTGGTGGTGGATTCAGTGGACGAGGTGGTGGTTTTGGTGGACGCGGAGGTGGTCGTATAGGTGGTCGTGGCGGTGGCCGGAGCTTTGGAGGTGGTCGTGGACGCTATTAAAGTTTTGGATTACAACCTGCTTAACCCTTAACGTAGATTATGATTGTAACTTCACATCTGGCAAATCAACAAACCAACAAGGTTTCAAGTTCGCTCGAATGAAACTGTTTAAATGTGTGGTGACATCATGAATTGTACTCTCCAACAGCTCGTCATCATTATCTTTATCTTCATCTGCAGCTTCTACTGTGGTTTTCCTGGTCGCATGTTGCATGAATAGCGTATCCCCAGCTCTTAAAAAGTGCTTGCAAGAAGTCAGAATGATTTGTTTTAGCTAGCATTATCGTATCTAGCTCGCTAGTGGATTAAAGTCGCTCTAAGCACTCAAACTGAACAATGCTATTGCCACGAATCACCTAATATAATAGCATCAACACAAGTACGAAGCAATTGGATTAGTAGGAAAGACACAAGCCTTTTCTGTCACGAAATATCCTCATAATCGAATCAATCGCCTTACCACCATGCCAATGCGATTCGATTCGGTGGCAGACACCTCCTCAACCGTTTCATCCAGCGTCACATTCATAAACTGGTCAAATCCACGCAATACACCTGACACTTTACGGTTGCCATTCAGCTTAAGACTCAGTCGTTTGTCCATGTATCGCTTCAAGTCAGGGCCCGCTATTTTCACCATAATTGTGCGACGTTAAAAATGGATATATCGTGTCCACACACCAACGTTTCGACTATATTTAAAAGTCAATACCTTATTATACATCCACTTTGTCCATTCTATTTCTATGTGACATGCACCTTTATAGAAATTCTCGAAAACCACAAAAGAATGATGGTCACTATATCCTTCCCTCTCAAGATTGTTCATTTTGTAAATAACCACGAATTTCAAAATCTGAATTGATTCTAAAAATAAGAATGAGCAATTTCTCACAGGGACAGGATTGGGAGCCAGCTGGATGGGGTAGTCGTGCTCCCCCTCGTGGTGCTGCAAAGCAACAAGTGCTTAATAATGCACGTCGCAGTGGTAATGTCATTACTGAGACCAAGTGTACGTTGTTGTTAATGCTATTGTTGTGGTGGTGTCTGTTATGGTATGCAAACCCTCTCGAATATGTTGCAAATTACTGAATCATTTTGTGTCTTTTATTAATTATATACAGACAATGCCGGTACAAACAAAGGCGCGCATAGTGGTGCAATCATTAACGCACGTAAACTCGAGGAGGATACGGATAATTTCAAGCATGACGTTGTTGATCGGAGTCTCTCGCAAGCATTAATGAAAGCACGTATGGCAAAGAAAATGAATCAAAAGCAATTAGGGACATTGATTAATGAAAAGCCACAAGTTATTGCAGATTATGAATCAGGTCGTGCTATTCCAAATGGACAGATTATTTCCAAGCTTAATCGTGCATTGGGAGTTCAATTGCCACGTGGATCCAAGAAGAAAACGTCAACCAATTGAGTTGGTTACACGGTTTACATCTCAGTCCAGTTTTTTAGTGATGATGATGAAGTGAGAGACTCGTTGGTTGGTCAGCTTGAGTATTATCTTATTCAAGATCAAGGGAAGAAGGAGAAATGGGATGGACGTTGTCGTATGATATCGATTGGACTTAAGACAAAAAATATAACACGGACGACTCGACGGTTTATCTCGTCTTGTTCCACATGATGTCTTGTGTATGGATGTGATTGTTTTGAAGTCAACCTAATGGCCAATCGACTTTAGCTGAACAATCAATGTATCCCTCTAGACTGGGATAATGGATGGACAACCAAGAATGTTAATAATGGGTCTCATGAGAACCAAAGCATACATCTAAAAATAGTAAACCAAGCCGTTGGTCTCAGCCCAAGTTTCTCGTACGACATGGTATTTATAGGTGGTGATAATGATGCTGTTCAGTCAGTCCTTCACGATCCCATGCTTCTCTTGTCTTCTCATTGACTGCAAGTCACGAAACAGCGAGTTTTTTTATCCATGTAGAGAGCGCTTCATTAGCAGTACTGAAACATCAAGTACTCTTCAATCAACTACCTACCTCCTAACCATCAATCAAATAGTCGCAGTAGCTTACATTGAACGTCGTAAAAAGCACAAGTCGCTGTGTTCGTGTCTTCATTCTGAATCTCGTGTTGGTCCTTTGCACTTGTTGACACAATGGCGAATACACGCACTAGCAACATGTCTTGTTTGAACTTGATCTACCGACCAACATCCACGCCTTCTCCATCTTTATCCGACAACGAAGAGATTCGTGCTATCGAGAGCAAGAGATTTCAAAGCAACGATAACAACCTTCTGGCATTGTCTTTCTTGCCCAAGATGGACGAGACAAGGCGTACTTCGTACTACAATGAAGACGTTGCGTTTTCACATGAGACTGTTGGTTTGTCGAATACCGTGTTTGATGCTATTTCTTCTAGTCGTGTCGACGTCATTCACCAGACGAATGATGATCCAGTGAACGGCACACCTGCACACTGTTTCAAGCTAGACCGCTATGAAGCGCTTACCGAGTTCCTAACGTACGCTAAACACGAGCAAGGCAAACAAGTAGCAGCGTCCAATTTGAATTGTCCACAGCATGCAAACGTTTCGGCAACTCGAGTGAGGCAGACTCAGGAGCGTTGTCACAACGATTCCAATGCGTACGCAAGTATTTATCTGCAATTGCTATCAGTGCTTGCAACATTCTTGCTCACCTTTGCTTTGGTAATTATCGTGCTCAGTTCACAGGTATTTCGTGTGCAGCAACGTGTAGCAAGAGACAAGAAGCAGGAAGTGCCGGAGAATGACTTTGACGAAAACTCATGCAGTCCATGTGATGTCCAAGAGGAGGATAATGAGCGTGCCATATGCAGTGGCCACGCCGAAGTGGATGGATCCCAGTATGACGAATGCAGTTATGAGGCTGAGCTGTGTGACAGATTGGGACAAGTTGCGATTGATTTCGACGTTGACGAGGATCGAGACGATCGTATCGTATACAGAAATGCTGAAGAAATGGCTCAAGAGCTATTGAACCAAGATGAAGATGATGCTAGAAATGATGTGGATGACTGGAATACGAGGCTGCACGGTAATGCTACGACGATGGAGGAGCTGGAGGAGCGGGTGAAACAGGCAAAGCTGAGTACTTCGTCAACATCAAGAACCCGTTTGCGTGTGCACCCGATCTTGACGACGGGTCATAGGACTGTCAAGGGTGTCTGCGTTCCCCAGCTTCCGCGCGGGAGGAGGGATGAAAGAAATAGTTGCAGTGGCTTGGACACCGCTATGACATCGAGATGCAGCAACAGTCACGCAAAGACTGTAGAAAGAAGCTTGCGCCACAAGTTTCAATTCTCGGAACAAGAGTTGCTACAGCTTTTGGAAGATGAAGAGGCTAATGGAGATGCGACGACATTCACTCCAGCAGTGCTTGACACTTACCCGAAATTGAGTACAAACTCGACAAGTACAGATGCAGTGCCACTACGACGAAAATCATTCTCGACGACCGGAAGCCCGACAAAGAGCATTGGTGGAGTCGGTTTATTGCATGTTGCATGTATTGCCACACGTGAGGTGACGAGAGCATTAGCTTTACCAAAGGTTACAAAGTCCACGGAGCAACTGTGGACAGGACGTCGTAAGTCCACAAGCGCATGCCACATCACTGCTTCTGGCATGTCACCACGCAATAGTCGGAATATTTCTGCTGCAAAGCAACAGATTGTCGCGTTTAACAGTAAGAAGAGAATAACGAGTAAGACGTTACCGGTGTCACCGTGGTCGCCATCCGTATCGTCACCACCTCCTCCTCACGTGTCGACGATACAAGCACAAATGGTACTACATGTCCGTGAGAGTATGCGTGATGGTATCCCAGAGCTTGTGATTGATAAACCGCCTGTTCCGATTGCGACGTGGAACAATGGATGCATGTACGATCCTTTCATGAATATGGCCAAGTACATGAAGCTTGGACCAGCACAACACGGCATGATGCTGAAACAACTGCGCTACATCAAGTTAATGATGCACGAAATGCCATGGGCTAAAGCACATTTACGTGCACTTCTATCCAAGTATACATCAAAGGAAATATCCAAAGAAGAACTGTACCCGCAGCTGAACATCCTCGGTCAGCAAGTGCAGAGCGATGTCAGTTCACGCGCTCGACAGCTTCGTGCACTTACAACCCAGAAGCAGCGACTCACGGTCACGTTAAAACTAGCAACGGGTGTTGTGAACAATACAACGTTTCGAAAATATGGTCGCCGTGGTCAACCCCATGTATCACGTCTGCTGTACAACCCGAAATTTCCACTTCAACTGCGCTGGAGACGCAAACACGGTGAATGGAGTGCTGAGTATCTTGCTCTCGATGAAATCCAAGTTGTTGAGGTATCGGACAGCTTCAACTTGATCAAAAGTCGTGTTGGTGGTTCATTTAATGGTCGTGGCATCAAAAAGTCTGCAGCTACGCTCGATCCAGACGTTTGTTTATCTTTCGTGACATTTTCTCGCTCACTTGATCTACAGATTGCCAATTCATTGCAACGGGAATGGCTAGCAAACGCCGTACGTGATCTTGTATCGTTTGCACAGGAACATAAAGCTACAAAAGCGAATTAGTGGTGCGATGATTTCCAATCACGAGAAGCTTCAACCGGTCTCAAAAGTGTCGCTCATCTGATAGAAAAATAGTAGTCAGTCACATTACTATGAATAACAACCACCACTAGTATGACAGGCCTGAGGAGTTGTATTGGATTAGAGTACTACATCTTTCTCTAACTCTCTCTAACTCTCTCTATGCCTTCTTCTTGTCTTGTGATTTGGTCTGCTTCAATAGTAATATCCAGACGTAGAATACGGTCATTCCAGCACTGGATACAGCAACAAAACCTGCTGGAAAGAACGTGTTGGTTGTCTTGTAATAACGATGACCCATGATGAGAGTAAGTGGTGCAGATACGGCCAATGAAAGAGCAGGCCAGAGCTTGGAGGTTATCATGGCTGCTGGATTTTGTATATACTCGTTATAGCTACAATAGCCCACAAAACTTAAGAAAGCACCTGAGAGACCACCACCTAGGAGTGACATGGTACTACCAGAGCTTATATAGCCTGTTAGACCACCGAGACTGAGCATAATGCCATACTAAATAGATATATAAAACATACCATACAAAAGAAGGTTAGAGAGGGAGAGATAGAGACAGATAGAGATAGGTACTAAAAGTTCGTACCGGAATTGTTAGGCAAAAGTCGTACATAATACCTGTTTTGTCGTGAAATGAGAGAATAAAGGAAAAACTGAATAACGTGTTGCACAGTTGTGAGGAAAACAAAGAGTTCTTTTTTGTTTAAAATTGAGTTCTATCCATTGGCTAGTGAGCAAGATAATGGATAATATCAAACTTTGTGGATCTTTTTTTCGCTCTTTTATCTTGTTGATCCAATCGTTCCGACGCTCGCAATTGTCCACCACACTTTGTGTTTAAAGATCGATTTTGTCCAGATACTTTGTTGTCAAAGGTGTAAATGTCCAGTAAAGCCTTTTGTACGACGACATTTAAGATATTATCCTTCTTCTTCATCATCTTATATTTCTAATCCTCTCTATCTCTTGCTATGACAAAAACACACAGGGGCGTTAACCTGCTCATTGATCTCATTCAGTGGCTTTATCTTTCTATTTCTAGTAGGAATTCTAGTGCAAATACAGCCCGAGTATCTCAAAATTAACAAGAACGGATCGAGTCCTGCTACATCAATCTTTGAGTCTGCTTGTCTCTATGGGACACTCTTTGTTGTGTCGTTTACAATTTACTATAAAGAGACGAAGAAGAATGTACCAAGGAACTACGATCTAAGTGGTTCAACGTCGGAAGAGCGTCAGAGTTTACTAGACAAGTGAGTGGTTCGTCTGATATTTTAGACCAAGGAGAAGACAAAGATGTCCATATCTGCTCAAGCTTTTTTCTGTGTGTTGTGATGCGATTGGGTTTAGATCAATGATGATGAGAAGCTACAGTTGAGGACAGTACTTTACTTGGATTCGATTCTTAAAGCTACAGATCGTGTCCATTTCGATAGTGTAATACGAGGTTACAAGATGTTTCAACTGCACACTTGTTCTAATCCAATGCAAGGATCCTTTGACTTTATATAGACTCTCATTGCATGGAGTCAAGGACATTGAGATTTGAGATACTAGCTATTCAATCTATTGCCTAGTGGCAAACTGGTCATGTTGCCAACTGAGACAGAGATATTCCTATCAAGATCTCTCTTCCTTACATGTATATACATACGTCCATGTTATCATGCCACGACAGTGTAACGATCTCCCTGTTTACAACTTGGAGTCGATCGTACTGCGTGATTTTTGCTCCATCTTTTTTGACCAAGATTCAAGTGATCCACGCGACATTATCGGATTCTTATAAAGGTAGTGTCCTCCATCCACAGTCAATACATCACCCGATACAAAGTTTCCCACAGGAGACACCAAGTACAGCACTGCAGCTGCAATATCTGTCTTATGACCCATACGACCCAATGGAACTGTAGTGATAATACACTTCTTCCTCTCTTCCGGATCTTCAATGTTCCCTCCTAGTTTTGCCGTACCCGTCGTGTCTGCAATCGGACCCGGAGCGACACCTGTAACACGAATACCAAATTGTCCCCATTCTAATGCTAATGAACGGGTAATACTGTCCACTGCAGCTTTAGCCGCGGAAGCGTGCACCTGATACCACGTCGCTGGATTCTGTAACGTAGCTGTAATGTTAATAATCCGTCCATCTCCACTTCTCTTCAAAGGCTCAAATACTGCACGACTCATGTTGAATGTACCAATGGTATCAATCTCGATAACCGTACGAAACGCATTTGTCGACAGCTTCTCGGCCAACGCCAGGAAATTGCCTGCCGCTGCGTTAACGAGTACATTGAGCTTTCCAAATCGTTCAAGGACCTTTGCTACTGCATTATCTGCACTCTTATCAGAGCGTACATCTCCTTGTATGAACATGTAAGCGCTGTCGGACACTCCACATTGACGCATCATGTCCATGGTGCTCTGTAAAGCGGTCTCTCGACGACCAAAGACCGCGACTTTGGCACCATATTCAGCTAACTTTACTGCAATTTCCTGACCAATACCAGATCCTCCTCCTGTCACAAGGGCAACGCATTCAATGCAGACATCGCGACGGAAGACGCGGCTAATATCACGAGCGTCCATGATGAAAAAATAAAGTTGCTGCTTGAAGGTGATTCGAAAAACAAAATGCAGAATGGTTGTAAGTTTCTACACATCATGATTTCTAAATGTTTGATTTTAGAAAGTAAAGTATTGTAAAAACTACTTTACCTTCGATCTTATCTATCCTACTAAATGTCAAAGTTGTGACGTTGATTCGTTGTTAAACCGGTAAAAATACTAGATACCTACGGCAGTAAAAGTCAGCTCATAGTAAGTAGCAAGAGCAAAAGATGAGCATCGTTGCAGCCAAGTCGCCACAAAAGACGTACACGTTGGTGGACAAGAAGCCCTTCTTTAAGCATTTTTACCCCAAATATCTAGCTCTTCTAGCCATAAGATCTACGGCCACGCAGGGTCTTATGGTCTTAAATGCATACGTGGCTTCACTGGATCTTGAAGTCTCGGACGAGGAGGAATCGAGTGAAGACGAACTTGAAGACATAGATGCTGTGGAAAAGGAAGAGTTTGTGGCTCCTAGTATGGAGGAATTTAGTACTGCAAGTGCCCAGTCATTTTTCAAGTCGCTCAGTATTACCACGTACCTGCGCTCTCTTGAGGAAGTTGCGTTGCGCTTGTTTCGTCCACAGATCACCAGTAAACTCATTAAAGGTATGTCGAGTCTCAAGTGGGTATCAATCATATGGTCTTTGTGTTATAATACATTGAAAATGGTGATGGTGTTACGATTGTGTGCGGTTTTTGCTTGTCCCATTACTGGCTCTAGACATTAGCAAGTCATCGATGCGCAAGTATGCGCGCACGTCGAGCAAGATCACGTCGGCGGCATTAATGATCAAAACCGGTATGCGGGCCAACATGTTGAGCCATCTTGCCATTTTTTTGGTCGAGGAGGTACGTTAGATGCTCGTTCTTTGGTTGTTGCTTGTCGTATGTGATGCAACAATGGCACTGTTGTAGTTAGCGCGTTTATTTACGCCTCATGTGATGTGGTGCCGTGTATGATATGCGTTGGACCATTGAGCAGACTCAGCAACTCGTCGTCATTCTCTACCGGTACTTTGTCTCAAGGAAAAGAGGCAGCAAGTATAAGAAGAATCTGCGGTCAATTGAGGAGGGCATACATAGTAATGGAAGTGGCAACGAGGAAGACACGATCTCAGCTTTCATGTCCGTAACGGGCCTCAATGCCTCTCGCTCCGCACTAGCCATCATCACAGGTGGTATCGGTGCTGCCATGGGCACGGCAGTGCGACCTGGTGTTGGTACATTTATTGGCGGTACACTAGGTGATTCCGTCGCGTACGTGTTGTTTTAGAGGGACGGCAAGCCTGGGCAAAATTTTTCGAGACGAGAAAATGGTTTCCTTCATGAACTGCTTGACAAGATATGTAGCTCAATAGCTTAATAGCTTATCACCTGACCGACCAGCAATTGAATAGATACTGTACTTGACATGAACTGAAGACGAGTGTCAAGAATATAACGGTGCATGAATTGATTAAACCGTCTTGTTCTATTTTGACCGGTTTTTAGTTGCTTACACATACGCGACAGAACAACTCAACGACCGTATCAGACAAGCGGTATGCTATATACCAGGTCTAGCAAAAGTCCTCTGTCATACAAACCGAAGTCATATATCGATAGCCGGTTTTTGTATCGGTAAATACCGCGTGTGAGAAACCCATTTAACGTATCTCATTAACGCTCGCCATCGTGGCCAAGCGTCTGTCTGTCTGTCTGTCTCTCTTCTTCTTCTCCGCTTCCCTTCTTATTGATACTACAGGTGTATTGTTCTATCACTGGACATTGAATCTACAATCCGTAGTGCACAACCTCACTGCAACAATCTCTCTACTTACAGTGTATGAACAAGAATGTTTTTCATGGAAACAGTCTCATTAAATGATGAAACACGAGCATCCACGTCATCAACATCCTCTTGTTCCACTGTGTTAGATGTAGAAAGTCTAGAGACTGAACTTACGCTACCGGAAATCACGGTATCGATCGTTGACAGTGAGAATGATCCGAATGATAATCGACAATGTAATCACGATACGAGAAAAAAATACAATCCAAGTCGTCTTTAAACAGCCACATGAACAAGAATAATGGAAAAGAATTGATCATGCTGGACGTAAATCGTCAACACAAGGACAACAATGGCTTTTCTAACCAAAGTACAAATCATCATCAGCATGTACTACCTCCATTACGTGTGTTGACACAAAAACTACCTGTTGAAGAAGGAGAGTACGTCGACCCGACACTCTTTTCACCAGAACTATCAAGTCATGCCATGGAAGTGGCGCATCGTCGTGCTAAAGCAATTGCAACTGAGGTGAAGGAAATGATGGAATTGGAAGTCACCGTCACCAGCGCTACAAAAGCTAAATTGTCACCAGCTGAAGCAGTGGGGATTATTGGTGGTGCTTTTGCTAGTTCATTGAAGCGAGCAAAGAAGCTGATGAAACCAGGAATAAAAGAATACGACTTATTGTCTGGAACATCTCCGTCAGGAGAAACACCAAAACTAGATGATCTTGACACAGATGGCGACGGATTACAGCTTTCACCAGATGCTACTTACAATGAAGGGGAGCACTTTCGGACAACAAAGTTGAAACCGGTGCTAAAGCGCATTTCAGTTTACTCGACTGCAGCTGCGCTGGAGCCGGAAAAGAATTTGAGTACGCAACCACAGAAGAAAAAACGTATTAAATGGCATGAAGACGTACTAGATGCTGATGAAGAGTTTTGCGAAGAAGACACTGATGGACAGGAGGCGCGCTCATTGATGAATGCAGAGGATGATGCCGTCGGTAGTCCTCGATCTCAACTCTTGAACTACAGCAGTAAGAATAGTGGACAGGTTACGCCGCGAAGCAGAAAGAAGCGCAAAAAGCTGGTAAGATCTTTGATGCGGCGGTTGACAACGCGCGAGAAGGAGGAGCTGTATCGCCAGCGACCAGATCTGATGATTGTGCCGAACTGGGCACAGAAGTACCGTGAGGAGCTCGCAGGTGCAGATTCAACTCGCTGGAATGCTTGGCTGCTTGCGTTTATCATGATACTGGCTGTGCTGCTTCTGGTCTTCATTCTGTTCATTGTGCGGCAGCGTATTGCGGCCGCGAAGTAGTCTGCGTGGGCACTAGTTCCATTAGAGAGTTGGGGGACAATCGTCTGCTGCTGCTTCTTCTTTGTCTTTTAGCTTGTCGACATTAAACACCTTGACAGACACGTAGGGAACAGGACACAACTACAAGCTTCCAATACTATTTACTGGACGTTCATTGCAATGTTACTTCAAGCTGTTTCACTCTCTTGCTGCATTTTGCAAGAAGGACACAGTGACTTCCAAATACGTGACATAATAAAATGTAACCCAGAGCAAAGAGGGACATAAAGGAATAGAGTAGATACAAAAGAAACACCACGTCACACACAGTACGTGTATTTATTGTTGTTGAGAATGTCCTTGTCACGTGTGAATGACTGGTTTCCACTAGCGCAAACTGCAGCAAGAGCTCATTAACGTCCGACCACAGATCGTGCTAGTTTTCCATCCGTCCTGTTACTTCAGCGTCCTATCTGCTCTCTCGTTTTCGCACGTATCAACCTAATGGTGGCTATAGTCAAACTTGCCGTTAACACGTTTCCAGTAATTACTCTTTTCCTTGTCTTCTTGAGTAGCACCACGTGTAGGAAGAATCCCACAAATGATCCATGCAGCACTATGGAACAATCAAACAATAACACATTAACTCACAATAGCAAGAAACAAAAGAAGAAAAAGGAAGAGGACGTACACTCCAGCAATGAGAAATGGTTGAAAGTATTCTCGCTTGGCTTCATGCATGATAAATTGAGTGTAGGGTAATTTGTGCCATTTAATAGCTTTCTTAGCAACGGTAGAAGTCATGATCAATGAATGAATAAAGTGTATGTCACGCGCTTAATATTATTGTGACAGGAGACAGAGGCTTAGAATGGTTGAAAACGAGGGGGAGACGTAGAAATGAATATTCCTGTATAAATAAATAACTTATAATTTGGAATAAAGGATTAGGATTTAAACACTTTATATGAAGTAACGGATAATAGGAACTAAAGTAGAAATAATTGATATCTGCAGTAAACGTGGTTATTCTTAGACCCTTTCGTACTTGGAAACGTTCCATAGCCAAAAACTTTGTATGGATACATGATTCTACCATATGTTCTACCTTGAACACTTCAGGACTGATACAAAAAGCTAGCCGACATATTTTACCTGTAGCAAAACGTTAGATATTCATTTCTCTCTACATAACGCATTAACAAGACCCGAAAACCACCAACAACAATCCCTTGCTCGAAATCTAAACTTTTACCCAAAAAATGAATAGACGTACGAGCCATTATTGAAAGTTAAAAGCAAACAATCTGTCTCATTTTCCCAACAGCAGACACTAATGTCTAGTAGGTGCAAAATGCACTTGCTACAGCACCCATCTTAGTAATCCTCATCGCCGCCAAACATGTCCATGCCGCCACCCATGTCAACTTCTTCTTCTTCTTCCACAACTTTTTCTTCCACCTTTGTTACGACATCACCTGAAGTACCTCCATTGGACGAACTAGCAATAGCACCACCAGAAGTAGGTCCACCCGATGAAATAAGCTCCAAAACCTTTCCCTCTTTTGATAATAGCGAAGAAAAGAGACTTGGCCAGTAAGGTTCAACCTCATTACCGGAAGCTTGCAAGATTGTAGTAATAGCTTCCGATGTAATTTCATGTTCACCATCAAATAGAATCATCGATGCATACGCAACACATAATTCATCATGCTGTTCCTTGGTAATCGTCGACATTGTTTGAAGCTTTAACTTTCACACAAATAGCAAGTGTACCATGCTATCGATTTGGTTGGTAGCGCCAGCGTGGCAGAGACTTCTTTAAAGTACGAATGGTAAAAAGACCATCTTTTTATTCTTTCTTACAGATAGAGGTAATTACGAATTGCTATTAAATGCTGATATTATGTTGTGTACATCAGATACGTACACCACATAAATTGTCATTTTTACAAGGTCAAAGGTCAAATAGTGCGCAATCATTGAAATCGCCATCAAGAAAGACGCTTCACATGAGTGACACTAGCGACGTAGGACAACACTTGAACAAATGGAAAGTACGTGCATCATCAAACCCATTTCATTCTGTACCTATATCTGGTGTTGCTACTGAAAATGAGTCCGAAATGATAGAGATATCAACCAATCAAGAAGACGATGGGAAGGAAAACCGTATACCATCAAGTAGTTTTACTTCAAGCTATTCTAACGTCAGAACGAGGCACAGGATGGGACAAATATTCTTTGGAACTGAACCATTACCTTCTTCACTTCATTCTGAATCCTCCATGTCCTCTTTACGTCTTGGAAAACGTCCAAAACCAATGAAGTTGTCATCAGATCGAGACGACGTTTGTGATACATTGGACGCGAGCAAGGAGTCAGATAGGAATCAAGACCAATGCACAAGAGATTCAGTTGTAAAGGCTCATAATCTGATGCACTTTGAAGCACGAGCATTGAAACTTCATGACTCTTGCTTAGGTCGAGAGCTTCCAGAGAATAACAAGGCATTAGATGACTCAGATCCTGTCCCTACAATGTTTGTAGATGTTTCAAATCAGATTGGACAGCTATACTTTGGGACGGTAGCTCTAGGTGAACGAAAAAGCAGACGATTGAGGCTGAAAAATACAAGTGAATGGAGCAATGCGCGTGTCAAGTATGAAGGTTACACGATGGGACGAGATGGTTACAACAGTGCATCATCAACTGTAGCTGCTCCAATGAAGACAAGATTTAAGTGTGATTTACATCTTTGTGTGATAAATTCGCTCAAGGCTGTAACGCTCCGAGTTACATTTGAACCGCTGCCGACGGATGTTGGACGCCTCGTCACGGCCACGCTCAAGTTCACAGTGAACGATCAGTTTAAGCTGGAATGCAGAGCCATAGGGACAGTGACGCCACATCTCCCGCAACTGTCCAGGTTTAAACGCATGCGTCGGTCAAAGCATGTCGACACTGTTGCATTGCGGGCAAGTAGGAAGCAGAACCTATTGTCCAGTACATTTACCATGAATACAAGACAGACGAAGAGCAGGACGTTATCAGAGCCAAACAGCACAATGTTCTCAATTTCAAGTGCTCTGACATTGAGCGATCTTGAACCGGAGCTGGAGCCTGTAGTCACGACGGGGGCGAAGGTGGGAGAAAAACGCCGCTCGTCAGTGGCCATTGAGTTCTCCCCACCACGAAATGGAGTAAAACGAAGGAAAAGCGAGACGCATGTGAGTATGCAAAAGATATTCGCGCCAAAAAAAAGTTTTTATGCTTCCCGGGAGTATTCCTCGACGAAAAAGCCTTTTGCCGGATCGTGGTGGAAACAGCGCCAGGAGACTTATGACGAGAACTGGATGGCAAAGCAGGCCGAAGGCTTTACGAGATGGATGAATTACGTACTGTTGGAAAGTACAGCCCTCCGTCTGAGCGATTGCGACGAACAAGATGGCACACAAGAGTCATTGGTTGGAACCAAACGCAAATTTGATTACACGTCGTTGCGCATGCTTGCTCAAAAGCGCTTGGAGTTGAGTTGGGTACAATTTGCTGTAAAATTATATCGTTCGTCAAGTATGAGTGATGTCCTATTTAATCTGCAGGACGAGATTGGCAACCAGAGGTTACGTCTTCGCGCAGACCGCCCTGTGTACGCTGACCTCAGCTTGCAAGAAGATCTAATCAGCCTGCTGAACAATTACCATCCGGTGTGGCTTTGCCTGGGATTATATGCTGTGCTTGGGAAAGAAGTCATGTCACAAGAAAAATGCTCGTTGCGAACCATTTTCCGCTGTACTTGTACAAAAGCAACCATTACAGATGTGAAAGACTCGTCATTAGACCGGAAAATGCCTCGTGTACTACGTCGGATTGTCTTGAAGCATTTGGTCAAAGATTCGCATGTTGCCCAAAATTATGGATTGGTGAAGAATCTCATGGCACCACTGGATGGCTCGACAGCGGATCGCTACGATGGTGGCAACGGTTTCAAGAACACCAAGAAAAACATAAATGGACGGGAGTACTTTGACTCATTGACGCAGGCGTTAATGCTCAAATTTTTCATGCTGGTGATGTTTTTGGACCGTGCGGTTCAACACAGGGGAGACAAGTTTGCACATTTTCCCTGTCTCTTTCGAATCGCTCGTTCGACCAAAAGTACGATACCCATTAGGGTTCAAGACAGTATTAATAAAAAAGAACGTAACAGCGACGAAGATGACGAACTGTCGGTGAAAAAGTCAAAGGTACTTGTGACAGAGTTTTGCAGACTCTTTTTGGCAAACGAAGGTCGCATTGACAAGCATTTGAACCAGCTAGGCTACTCACTGAAGCACGAACAAACAGCGTTGGATGAAGTCGACCTGGAGATCACAAACGTGGAAACCGATCTGCGCGATGGCGTCCGACTGGCAAAGCTGATGGAAGCACTTACGGCGCCTGCGTCCTCCTCGACAATTCAAATTCCAGAAATTACTTCCAAGCCTAAGAGCTTGTCAACGTTCTTGCGCGTGCCGGCTCAATCGCGATTGCAAAAAGTACACAATGTTGAGATTTGCCTGCATTTCTTGCAAGACAAATGTGGTGCAAGCGCTTTGGATAACCTTAAAAGCAGCAGCGAGACAGACAAGAAGCGTAAACCAGCTGGACGTGTCCGTATGTCTTCGTCAGGTTTTGCGGGTTTGCGGACTAAAGTAGATGAAAAAATGGTGGAAAATCTGGCAAAAGACATTGTAAATGGGCACCGCGAGAAGACCCTGGCATTGCTGTGGAAACTTATTAGCCAATTCCAGCTGCAATCTCTTGTGGATGCCCAGGCCATGAGATGCGAGATTGAGAACGTCGTTAAGCGGATGAGTTTTCGCTCGAAAGACTTTTTTGATTTTCAACAAAAGAATGTACCGCTCATTTACACTGATGAACACGAATGCTATGGGTTATTGCTGGTATGGTGTCGTGCTGTTTGTGCCAACTACTGTGTTGGTGTGAACAACTTTTCCGGGTCATTTGCTGACGGGAAAGCACTATGTTATCTGCTTCACTACTATCATCCGATGCTTTTATCAAATTCGGACGTGCTACCAACAACCAGTGATATAAGTGATGCCGATGATCAGCAGCAGATCAGCGAGAAAACCCTTTTAAGTAACGAACAGCGGCACTTTGCTATTATTAACGACCGCATCAAGCAGCTTGGAGAGGTTCCAGTGATCATGCCTCGACAATACAATACAAAGAACCCGCCGGAGGAGAAGATAGTAGTAACGTTCGTTTGCTACTTGCAATCACGTCTGATGGACTCATGCAGTGAGATCCACGCTGCCTATAGGCTAAAACGATGGTGGAAGAGCCCGCTGATCCGATTGCGACTGCTTCGTAAAAAGAATAGTAGTGCTCGAATTATTCAGCGGTTTTGGTACACGTCCAGTCAGAAACGATTAGCGATTCGTCAGTGCCGTAAACTCTTACGAGCAGCACACTATGTAAAAAGCACATTGCTCACCTGGGTGACCAGAAAGCACTTCCTGCAGCTTCGGAAAGCGGTAGGTACCATACAGACGACGTTCCGCACTCGTCGGCAACTGCGCATGAATGGAGATTTGCTTGATGCAGCTCAAATAGTCCAGTGTTGTTGGCGGAAATACCTCAAACGGAGGCACCAGAAAAGCAAGCTGAAGGCACAGCAGGCTCTACACCACGAGGTCGCAGACCACGTTCTTGCGAAGGTCAGCTGTGGTGTCATCGAGCAACACTGGCTGCAGCATTTGTCTAGAGAGGGCGCTCGTCTTGTTCGACAACAAATAATTGCTGACCGTCATGCAGCTGTTTCTCGTGTTCAAGTTGCTTGGCGACGAGGTCGTTTGCGTGTCGCTGCAAGGATGCACCGTGCACAAGCGTGGCGACGAGAGCATCAGGCGGCACAAGTCATTCAATTGGCTTGGGGTTCCTTTCAACGCCACCTAGAAGAAAGCAAACGGATCCTGTCTTTCCGGCGCTTTGAGCAACTAATGAAAACGGAAGAGCTTCAGAAGAGACAGATGAAGCTAAAATGCAAAGTAGAGATGCGTGCTGCCAACTGTATCCAGAGAGGTTTTCGTACGTTTATGTTCCGGAAGCGAGAGGTAGCAGCAACCAAGCTTGCAAGCGCATTCCGTGGTGCAACGTTGAGATTGCACTTTCGCCTGGAGAAACGTGCTGCTGTAGTTCTGCAGCGCAATGTTCGTGTGTGGCGTCGGAGGCGGCAGCTTTGTGCGCTAACGCACTTTTACGGTGTGTTGAAGATCTACCAGCGAAACAGAGCAAACGAAACGCAACAACGCGTATCTCAAGAGATTCAATTTAAGGTGGAAACGAAGGCTGCGTACCACATTCAAAACGTTTACCGAAGTTTTCGATCCCAGAAGCGAACGTTTGCTGCAACACGAATCCAAAGCGTGGTGCTAGCATGGTTAACTAGGAAGTGGTACTCCAGTCTCCAGCAGAGCGCATGCTTGTTGCAGAAGAACATTCGGACATGGCGCCGTCAAAAACAGCTTCGAGTGCTGCTGGCTTTTGGAGGTTTGCTTTTACGGTACCGGCGCATGCAGCAAGACGAGAAAGAACGACAAGAACGTATCCGCCAGGATCGTCTTCGACGCTTACAGAAGTGTGTAAAGCATCGTGCAGCGCGCCACATCCAGTCAGTTTATCGATCTTACGCGTATCGCAAACGAATGCTTGCAGCTACTCTCATTCATGCGGTTTTTCGTGGCTTCAAAGAGCAACAGCGATATGCCAAGAAGCGTACAAGTGTGGTGGTAATGCAGCACTCGATTCGGTCGTGGCTGGTGGTGAGGAAGTTCCAACGAGCGATGTATCATCACCGTGCTTCTGTTAGCATTCAGAAGTGCGTGCGCGGATGGATATCGCGTTGTCGGTTCAACTTTTACGCCCTTCAGACTCAACTGAAACGGATGCATGTGCTGATGTCCTGCTGGCAGATCGAACGGTGGTACATAGACCGCATGATGAAGTACCACAAAAAGCGTACGTTAGTGATACGATCTCACTGGACGCGACTCAGCGCTGGTATTGTACGAAAACGTAGTGGTGATGCAAACAAAATTGCGATGTGCTGGCAATCATTCTGCTTTCGGAGTCTTATGAACGCACGGATTCAGCGACGACGGCAGATGAATGATGCTGCTCACTGTGTGCAGGTATGGTGGCGGGGATGCTGCTGTAAATGGATAGAACGTCAGCGGATGGAAGAGATGAAACGCCAGTACGAAATGGAAGCGTTGACATTGGCGATGGCCAAGTCGCGCGCAGGACGTATCTTAGCCTTGTGGCTTTACGAAAAGGCAATACTGCCATCACGCGAAAGTAATTGCCACCTCGTGGCAGTGATGAAGCTTCAGGCGTGGTGGCGTGGCACCTTAATTCGCTTGTACCACAGCACCCCTGGGATTATTCAGCAGCGCGAGAAGCTATCAACAATGAAGTTGATTGGACAAGAGCGGCACGCTGGGTCCAACACTTCATCGACCAGTCTGCAGCAGTTGAGGCTCAAGCCCAACGAGGAGAGGAGCGTTCAGTCAGAGCAGCGACAGACGTTGGGTGCACGACTCGATATGGCCTTGTACATGCTACTGCACGGAAAGCGACTGCAGGACATGCTGTTTGCAAGTCATACTATCGAAGTCTGTACTCGATATTCACGTGAATGTTGCCGCAAGTGCGTTCAGCTACAGATCTCGTCGACCATTTTTGCAGCAATCCGTGGTTTGAATCGCAGCCGCCCGCACGTAGAACTACTGAACCAGTTGCTGCTCGTTCTGAAAAATCTAACGGTGTATCGGCGTTCTGTCGAAAGGAATAATCCGACGCGGATGGTTGCTAGTGAAGATGCCAAGGGCCGACTTGACGTGGACCTGCGTGCTTTGGATACACTGGTAGACTTGCTGCACATTCATCGAGACATGCATCACGTGTTTGTGCTGTCCGCGGATGTCATTGCGTATTATTTCGAGTCATTGAAACCTCTGGCACGTAGGAACACTGATGTGCAAGAGAGTTGGAGTGAAGCTGAGAAGCGGCTAAGGGGTTTGCAGGAACTTTTGTTACGGAAGCTGGCACTATACAACGCAACGGTCTCATTGAGACGTGTGAATGATGTCTTTGACAAGAGCAACGCAAACAATCTCATGAGGAAAATGAACCCGAAGACAGCCGTATCTATCATGGAGCAGCTCACAGTGCTGCTAGCTTAAGGCAGAGATAAAAGAGAATCGATCTACAGTCGTTTTTCTAGATGAGTGTTTTTGATGGAAAATAGTAACACCATATCACTGAACTCGTAGTGAGTCAAGCAAGTAGCGATAGAGTGATTGAGCATTTTGCAGATTCAGCAAGAGTGACTGCTTGACGCTACAACTTACTAGAGCATCACTTGAGATGCTTCCAACTTTATAAGACCAAAAAACATGCGTGTGATGTTGTCCTTTATTCCGGCTAGTGCTTGTTCACATTACTTCATGTCGAAGAGGACAAGTCTGTTACTAATAACGCGAGTAGAAAATAACTTTGGAAATGCAAAATGAATGTGTATGAAATCGACAGGTAAACTTCTACAAATGGCTATCCTACCACTTGCACTACTATGAGTTGATGGAGAAGTTATTGCCTAGCTCTGTTTGTTTGAGATAATACTCGAATATATTTTGCAAGCTTTCTTCTTCAAATATAAGTAAGCATTTAGGTTCTCACTTCAAATTCGGTCTCCGCAAGAATTAGCTGGTGAAGGGCATTACGATTCTGCGTAGTGCCATCCATGTACAGAGGAAAGTGTTTTATCGCAACTGGGTTGTTGCAGATATCCATCAGCAGTTTGTTCAATTCTCTGTTTTTTTTTACCTTACTCATTTTTTATCATAATCATCTTTGCGTACGTTTTGAACGTAAGCTGTTGTGTGGCAACATTTATCGGTTCTATTCAAAGTGCGCTCCTCAGCTCTAGGAATGTTAACTCATTACGAACGAACTTGCGGATAAGATTCCCTTCACGTATATGCTTTTTTGTAATCCACTTAACGTTGTTGAAGCTTCTGCCACGTCCGCTACGGGTGTTGACCCTCTAAGTTTCGATGCGATTTCACCAAGATCATTCTTTCTCATTACTTAACTCGCTGTCTCTTAGGTTTTTATGGTCATGGTCATCTTCTGTCTCTAGGGCGCGTAGAAATCTCGTGCCACCGCTTTCCAGCGGAACGGTCTCCTGCGACTGCACAGCGTCAACGTTAGTTGGCAGAGACGCCATGGTCACGTCGCCCGTGAGGAAAGCAAGATGGGCCGAAGCGGCAGGCAAGAGGAAGACAATAAAGCGTATAGTTGCGAGTAAAATTGAGGACTACTAGCTATGAGCGCAAATTGCGACAAGCGCTCAAGGAACTGTGTAACGAAGTTACACAAAAAGGTTACACAAAGGTGTGCGCTGTACATACACACTTGCCACACCATTGTAGTGTGGCTGTACCTGGGTACAGTGGTAGGTTGATGTGACCGTAGCTTAGGTACGAAGGGTCGCATCGTGGCAGAGAGCCACGTGGTCACTATACTTGGTTAAGTATAGTAACTATACATGTTCACATATCAATGGGCTACAGAGCCAGATTAATAGTGACTAGCACTAAGTATAGAGTAGGTGCTTCTATATTTAGTGTAGCTAAAAGTTAAACATTCAATAAATCAGTTCTAAACCTGCTCTGAACAGCACACGTGCTAGAGCGTTCTATTCCTTTGTAAAAGGAATTGTATCTTTAATATTTGTCTCATGGAGACGTGGTTGTTTACAACCAAAAGGCAACAAGCTTGTAAAGCTAGCCTTGGCAGGGTTAAACGCCCTAAGACATACAGCTTTTGAAGCTAGTCTTCATCTCTACTTAGTGCATAAGTAGCTTTGTTACAGTAGCTCGGCTACACCTGGTAGCACTTGTAGTCAATCCCGCACCTGGGTTTGCGACTACTTCTCGGTGTGAGAATGGACATTGAAGAGATGCCCGCGGGTAGCCTGTCACAGGCACAACAGGAAGGGTTGCAAAAGCTGCTCCCTATCCTTGGCCCTAAGGGTGTGGAATATCTTATCACCCAAGAAGAAGAGGTTAGCAAGCGTATTCATATGCTTTAAGAGTAAAACAACGATCGAGTCGAGCATGTAAAGGGACGAATGCCTTCTTCTGCACCTACGTCCATGGCAACTATGGCGCAAGAAGTGGCCCACAGACCCATAGCCGATACAAATAGAAGTCGATAAATTCGACGGCAAAGAAGGCGACAACCTTATGCTTTGGTTTCTACAGGTTGAGTATGCTATGTTTATAGCCGACATCACCTATGAACCGTACTGTCTTGAATTTTCCACTGGTAAGTTGGGCGGTTTAGCCAAGCAGTGGGCTCATCACTGCAAGACGCATTCTCAACATGGGCCGATCATAAAGCTCAGATGACCTGGCAGTATGCACCACCAAACCAAGCACACCGTAATCGGTCGCGGTTTTTGGCGTGTCGCCAAGGCAAGCGTGAGCTTGCGGCATATGTGCAAGAGTTGAGAGCTATCATTGCTGCCATGGTCATAGACCTTGGGTCGACTTCGATGAATGCCTGTTACCGGAGGACAGTTGGGCAAGAGAGCTGGAAGAAGAAGAGTACGAGGTCGAGGAGATTTTGGAAGCCCGCACCAGAAAAGAAAAACACGTTACGGGAGACAGCAACAAGATCTCCTCGTCCGATGGAAAGGGTATGAAGACCCCTCGTGGGTGGATGGAGTGGATTTTAATTGTGGAACCTTACTTCGGGATTTTGAACGCAAGGAGACAAGGAGGAATCGTTTCGAAGCGATGCAAAATCATGAGGAATAGAGGCCGAAACCGAGGATCCTAGGCGGTAGACCAGAGTCTATAGTGGGCAGAACTCGGCCTTCGAAGATGGTCTTTTTGAGTAAGACCTTGATTTTTCGAGGTTAACCCTGGTCTATCATTGGTTGAACTTGGTCTTTCGAGGTTGACCATGGTCTGTCAGTGGTAGGCTTTGGTCTTCTGAGGTCGACCCTGGGATAAAAAATAAATGTATAGTATATGGGCCATCATTGGTAGACCTTAATCTTTCGAGGTCGACCCTGGTCTATCATCGGTAAACCTTACATTAGAGATCAGGGTCCACCTTCTTTTGAGGTGGACCCTGGTCTCTAGTGTGGTGAAGAAAACGAAGTGACGTAAGGTTCGAAGGTAGAAGGGAAGTAGAGGTACCAGACAAAAACTCAGAGGAAGATGAACGCAAGTATTTTTTTAGTGGAAATGCCTACGGGGTGTGAACGAACTTGTTACGGAGACGTGATACCGAGTTCCCCAGGATGGGGCTCCAACGAAAGCCGATACTGGGTGATCCAAGGGTAAGTGAAGTCTGAGATCCTCAGGGCTTCCAGCAAGCTGGCGGGATCCGGCCCTTCCTTACAACTTGACAAAAAACAGTATGCACGCAGCAAGGCCGAGGAAGGTGCCGGAAGAAGAGGTCAAGCAGGATGTCGATATCGCATCGACCGTCACTCATCCCTTTGAAGGATATATCGACGTCCCCTCGCCACGCCCGAATCGCACGACCACGACGCTTCTTCTGCGCATTATAGTACGACGAGAGGAAGGTGCTGGCGCGCGCTTGATCCCCAGAAATCCATAGGCAGTGGGTGGCCTCCCAAATCGATTGGCTGTGATCTTCGTCAAAACGCAGGTAGGCCGCCTTCAACTCCGCAAACAGCCCACTCGCTGGAAAGGTACGGGTGGAGTCGAGACTCGTGCTGATATCCATTATCGGGTGACCAAGAGGCTTTGAAGCGTTGAAGAGCTGACGAATGACGGTTTCAACTTAGAAGATCAATCGACCTTCCAGTCTGGCGGAAAGAACCATTCCCAAGGCAGCTCCAGGCGGTCGACCAAATTGCTAGGGGTCATCGTCACGATACTCGACGAGTTGATCAGGACGAACGACCAAGGCGCTACCTCCGCAGCAGTGAGCAATTTCACCTGCATCTACCCAGGGATGAAGTCACCTTTTGGAAGTGTAGGTGACTCACCTGGGGCGGAGTCCGCCTTGGCGACTGTGGCGGGGGCCTTCTTCTCCGAAACTGACTCGATCTCTGAGTCAGAATATCCGAACATGGCCCGGAACAATGCTGGACCCGGGAGGGTAACAGGTTGTGGAACATAAGCGGCCGAGGCAGCTGGGGCTTATGAGTTGTTTGGCGCGGAGCGTCTCCGAGAAGACCGCGACCGAGATAAGGTCGCCCGAACCACCTCGCTGCCTTTGCTTGCCGTTTCGTCATCCAGGTCAGGTGAAGGAGCCGAAGATAGATCACGGAAGGCCCTCGACTTGAGAGTTGACAAAGCGGGAGTGCTGGTTGTACTCGGCTTGGTAGCCTTGGAAATCTTGGCGGTCGTCTTAGCCGATAGGCGCCGAAGTCGCTTGCCTGGCACCGTTGTAGGAGGCACTGTAGGAGTAGTCACGGGAGGAACCACGGGATACTTGAGTGGATTCGTGACATAATCCTCTTGCTCCAACTCCGCCACCATGAGAGAGTATCAGCTCTGGCGGTAGTCAATTCGCCATCGCAAGTGATCCATTAGCGCTCTTTCAGGTTGAAGTCCATCTCGCAACTGGACCACGAGGTTGTTAATGTCTAGCAGCTCTCTCTGAAGGCGCTCACATCTGGCGGTCCAGTATGCGTCGGTGGACAAGACGAAAGATGGTCGACCCATGCAAGCCTCAAGTCTACAGCCATATGCGCTTAGGCGGGCCTGTAAGTCGCGCAGCATCTGATGCACGTCATTGGGTCCGCCCATCGCAGCTGGAGGATCACTCAACGGGTCAATGGACGGGACGCAAGTGACCGGCCTTACGGGGTCCAACACAGTAGAGGAGGTGGAGGGAGACCGAGGGTAATCCACGACTGGTGGCATCTCATCACCTAAGGCTTCAGAAAAATATGTGGTGGAGTGTGTTCTCAAAAACTGCGTAATGAGACCGCAAGCCACTCACTGTGCCGGAATGCCGACTGTCGGAGGGGGTACCCCGATGCCGCGTATAGACCTTCTCTCACCTTGTGTACCCGTCGGCTGGCGGGTTGCACTCTTCGCAGAACTTGGAGGAGATGTGATGTCGGCCTTAGGAGAAGCCGACCTTGGGGGGCCTCGAGTGGGTATACTTCACTTGGTAGGCGGATAGG